AGTAGGTCGACTTATTGGGACAAAGGCAAGCTGGTGTCCACACGATGTTTTCTTCACCGTTCGACTCACTTCGAGCGATTGTATAATACGCAGATAGAAAGTCCATTCGTACACAGCCGGACCTACGACCTCAGGGATGAGAGTCGCACGCTGAAGCCACTAAGCCTACACTGGTCTTATTTCTAACTAAAACCGCCCTAAATATTGAAAAATTCATTCGAGAAAACCACAAACAATTCCGTGCATTTTTGACCTCTGCACTTGTTTTTATTCAGTTCACATATTTTTTCTGTCTGGTTTATATTTTTTTGGTTTTAAATGTACATTCATAGTTTTTGAACTCAAAGGTCGTGAGGTCGAATCACGGAGCACACTTGGGGTTTTTGTATTGTTTGTGCGTTATTAAACACATTATACAATCTAATAGCTTTAATATCATGTTGTGTTTACTAATTTATGTATTTATTATATATTATTCATGAGAACTAAATCTAATTGCACCGTTTTTCTGTCTCTTATCATCACAGCGTAAACAATTTACCAGAAAGGGACAAAAGACTTTAGTTAGTACAGTTAAAATAATGCAATTAGACAACCTTTTTTATAAATTTGAGGGGCAATCTTTGATTAATAAACTCGACAGTCCCCAGTGGCGCTACAAACTTTTGAGGCTGGGCCTCAAATCTGTCACATGATTTTTTTTGATCAGCCTTCTGAGCCTGACACATGCCGTCGACTTTCTAGGTATATGATTTCCTCACGATTCTTTTCTTTATGAGCGACTGTAAAAGGTGCACATAAAATCGTCCATTGGTTTGCTGAGTTTCATCATCAGACGTCGAGGCAGAATACGAAATCCTTCAAGAAAACAGCATACCATATCTTGAAAGGCCGGCTGCGCGCTTGCGAGCCTTCTGGCAGTGCGAGTGTCCATGGGCGGTATCACTTAACATCAGGTGAGCCTCCTGCCCGTCTGCCTCCTGTAACATTAAAAAAAACCCACTTGTATCACCTCGAAGGCATCGTTCCACAACTGAGCGTTTTTTAAAGCAGTTTCTGACGCTCACCACCATTTTCCAACAGAGCCTATTTGACTTAAGGTCCAAGAACAGAGCACCGCACACGCGAGCCCTCTGGCATAGAGAGTCCATGGGCGGCGGAATCAACATCAGCTGAGCCTCTTCCCCGTTCATCAAAAACGACATCATGAGAATCTTATGCTGTAGCCAATACTCCCGTTAATAGGTCACAGACCACATCAAAACAGCTATCTTTGTTCTAGGAATTATTGAAATGACCTTACGATAAACAAACATTACGAGAAATTCCCGCGGGTTTTTACAGAAAACGGCTCGTTAGACATCTAAATTGCTTGATTTCAATCAAATCGTTTTTCCCCTGTTTTATTAGTAACATCAAATGATTGAAACATTTTGCTATGCTACTAGACTGTTCGCTTGTTGAATAAAAATGTAAGTACTAATAAACATTTTTCAATTCCTTTTTCTAGATCCGTTTTTTGGGATGTACATGAAGTACGACCGACAACACAAAACCTTCGACCTGATATGAGTTGCACACCATTATTAGTTATTTATTATATATTAGTATTTTTTTTGCTCACCTCATGTTAAGTGATGCCGCCGCCCATGGACAGTGTCCATTATGCCGGCCATACACACTACGGTCTACCGGAGAGGTCCACTTGTGCAGGCTGCCCAGGTAGACCGGAATGTGTGTGGGAATAGACCTGTGCAGGTTTTTGCACGCAGGCGACCGGCGCAAGATCGAAAATGGATTCTTTCGACTGACACCGTACGGTGTACCTGTGCGTGTGTGCGTGTACTCCGGTCGCCTGCGCAGGTTGTTAAGATAGTAATCGGCAATGTATCTACATTTATTACTTATGCTATTTTTATTATAGGAGTAACCATTTCAAGTAATTTAAGGTATGTTTTCTCGTCCATTCGAAGATAGTTTTTAAAATCTTCTGGTTCCAATTTCAATTCATTTAATAAATTAACATGACTATATGTTTTCCTTTTCAATAACCAATGCTTACACCACTTTCTTCGCTTGTTTTTCGTATCATTTTTATTCAAAATTAAAGCAAGACCTAGCAAAGCCAGCGTGGCATCGTCCACATTCGATGCCATCGCAAAGAGAACTGAAGACCGCTCCGATACACCGGAACGTCCCCATACACGCTACCATTGTTCGGTTGACCTGCGCAGGCATATCTGCACAGATTACCTCTCCGGTAGACCGTCAAATTGCCAGAAGGCTCGCAAGTGCGTTGCCGGCCTCTCAAGAATTGGTACGCTCTTTTCTTTAAGGACCCCAAGTCGAATATACTTCCGTGGGCAGCTGGTTCTACATAGTGTTAGTGCACGACAACTGCCTTAAAAAACGCTCAGTTGTGGAACGACAGACGTCGAGGTGATACGGATGGTATTTTGTATTCTGCCTTGACGTCCGATAATGAAACTTATTACTCAATTGTAAGTATTAGTACTAAGTACTAACAACTCCTCTTCCTTCTTGAGATGAAGATCTATCATTTTTTTTTATATACAGGGATCCCTACATCTTAGCCTATCAGACACGCAACGTGTGGAGTTTCTTGCCCATTCTTCTCCACACGAAACTACCTTTTGGAAGGGGCAACTAGAATCATCTTTATATTTTTTTTTGACGTTCAAAAGTGCCATTTTAGATGGTCTAATTGAAATAAACGATTTGACTTTGACTTTGACGCAATCAGGCAAATATGTGACCGAGTGGCTAAGCAGCAGGGGAGAGTGTCGAATTCTCCCCTTTCCTAAAAGGGGACATTATTACCTTAAAGATCTATCTTTTCAGCTATCTGCTATATATGGAAGGATGGTGAACAAAACAACACACGAGACACTTAACTTTTGCGGAACAACTTTCAATTATAATATCAAACCCTAAATGCTATATAAGATGTCGATATGCCATCGCGTTTTTTCACATGCCCAACGCCACCTATTGCTTAAACAACAAATTAGATGATATAATTAGGGAGCGTTCAAGTATTACGTAACTAATTTGGGGGGGCGGTTGGTCCTTTTGTAAAACGTTACGATGCGGGGCGGGGATCTAATACGGGTTATTGTTAATATTATTTTCGACTTACACCCCATAATAGTAACTAAAGAGTCACTAGGTGGTCACGAAACGTTTTACTATACTTGGGTACTGAAAAACGTTACGGCGAGTTACATGGGGGGTCAATAATCTCCAAAAATTGCGTTACGTAATACTTGAACGCTCCCTTAGACAGATGGTGTACTGTTCCTCCAACCCAAAGGGAGGATCCTCGTTCAAGCAATGACTGGCCCGAAGGTCGAAGTGGCTGAAGTCGAGACGTATATATCCTTAGTCAGAATTCCTTTGTTAGCGCGTTCCAGGGTTAGACGCCATCGCAGTGACTTGTGATCGCAGATTCACTAATTAAGTTACCATTAATTAACATTAATGAGCTTAGATTATTGTAGATAATTAAAATTATATGTTTTTCATATTAGGAACACTTTTTTGATACGCTAAAATAATAATTCTTGTTTCTATTGTTTATAGTCCATTGAAATGTTACATTTGCTGAACATTTGTTTGAGGACGCAATTTTATTTATGGGACATGTAGAGGGGGTTAATACAAGCTTAAACCCAAGTTTGTGGGATTGGCACCATTGTCCTCCGGCAGCCATCTTGGAAAAAGGAGTGAAAACAGGTTTTTGACTATATCTCCTAAACTATCCATCGTACAAAAAATTTGTAAGAACATACTTTGTAGCAAATCGCTTTGCCTAGTTATGTTTGGGTGACGTTTTATCATAAATCCAAAATTCAATAAGTTGTAAGTAAAAAAGTGAAGAAATTTCCTTTATGGCTTAATAACTTTTTTCTTTTGATTTAATAAAAAATATATATCAGAACAATTTTGTACAGAATAGATATATTTTATAATAAAACATAACTTCAAATCCGTTAAAAAAGTGTTTTTCTATGTCTTAATGTTTTGTCAATAAAAGACAATACTACAGAATAGAGATTCTCGACAAAATTTCAGAAATTTGGCAAACTATGTAGGAACATAAAGAGAATAGAATGAAGAAGAAGAAACAAAAAATTTTTGTATGATGGATAGTTTAGGAGATATAGCCAAAAACATGTTTTTACCCCTTTTCCAAAATGGCGGCCGGGGACAAGGGCGCCAATCGCACAAACTTGGAGATAAGCTGGTATTGACCCCCCTACATGTCCCATAAATAAAATTGCATCCTCTAACAAATGTTCAGCAAATGTAACATTTCAATAGAATATAAATAATTAAATTTGACAATTTGTTTAGACTCCAGTCACTAATTAATAATCTGAAATGGTTATTAAAATCGTATAAGAATTTAGAAAAAGCTATTTTTCGGAATTATTAATTGAAGTGAAACTTCTTTATCGGCGTTGGAAACAAAATTACGTCACGGGACGTCGTCACATTTTTCCGTCACGCGCCATCTTTTTCTTGTCCTGCGATTTCGGATCCAGTTTATTGATTAGTTGCAAGATTTGTTGTTTGTGAAGTTTGTCTACCTCTGAAAACTAACTTCAGGCTTACCGCAATGTACTGTTATTTATAATGGATATTTTTTTCACGTTATATTTAATTAATATTAAAGTATTATGTTTAGTTATAAATATAAATTATGCTTTTAAAGCATTATTATTTATGTCAAAAACCGTGTAGTGCGTTCATAAAATGTATAAAATTTATATTAATAACAAAAATATATAATAACGATAGCAATGATACTAATAATTATATTACAATTAATGAAATTCTGTAATAATCTTAGTAGTAATAAGGTAAAAATAAATAATTGTATTCTATTCATTTATTCATTTATTCTATCTATGTCTATGATAATAAAAGCCTTTTTTTAAACTTTATCTAAGTTAACTTTTAACCAATTATTTTATTTAATTTCCATATGTGTATATCGTAGGGTCAAACCCTTTGGCGGCCATTTTGCCGTCGATCCAGTCGCGAAAGATGGCTACGTCCACATAGACACTTGGAGTCCATTCCTGACCACACCCAACGCCCCACGCGACTATACCACTCTGCACGTATCTGTCATCCTCGTACTGGAATAAATTAAATACAATTAGCTGATAATCTCTTACGGTGCGCTAGAGTGAGAGACAGCCGAGAGCCGGTTTTCGCCTATAAAATAAGCGCGTACGAAAGACTCGGGCTGATTTTTGCCACCGATCGCATTAAACGTTTTTACTTATTTGTGTAATTTTAGTTTCGGAATTACATTACGAAATTATTGGCATGCATGGGAAATCAGTTTCACGAAAGTAGTTTCGATATATGCGAAAGTAATTTCGTAAAGTAATTAGTGTCGTGAAATCCTCAGTATCGCAGTAACCCATCAGCATCAAAGCTTTATTTTTCTATTGGTCTAAGATCCCGCTATACAACGACCTTCACCGAGATGCTTATTTAATGAAACGTATTTTGTATTTAATTTAATATGTCAATAAATATAATCCATATGGGTTGCCTAGCAAATTTCAGTCCAGAGTATTTTAATTAATATTAAAAAAAAATATTTTTTTAAACATTTCACCGGTATGATTATTAGATAAATTCTATACCAATCGAAAGTATGAAGCCCATAGAATATGCAAACGTTAGGTTGTTTTTAATTAATTAATTATTTATGTGTATATTTTTTATGTGACACTAAAGTATATTATACATCTTTAGTAAAAAAGAAAGTTATAGTGATACATATATAATACTACCCTGATTAAAAATATTGATTGAAAAAAAATTTAAAAATTTACTAAGTACATGCAAATTATTAATTTTTTTTTTTTAATTTTAATTAAACATACTCTGGACTGAAATTTGCTAGGCAACCCATATGGATTATATTTATTGACATATTAAATTAAATATAAAATACGTTTAATTAAATAAGCATCTCGGTGAAGGTCGTTGTATATCGGGATCTTATACTATATATTAAATGTAGCTAAAGAGATGCTTCTCTATAAACTAAAAATGCTGTGTTTTTTTCAACTGGAAATAGTTTTAATTCTTTATCATAAGAATTCAGGGTCATGGGATCATGTATTAGCATCAATTACACGTCTGCACAACACAGGCACTTTCGAGACACTAGTTTCACGTTCCATCTACACCATGAAATAATGTCACGAAAATATTGTCACGAAATTTGTTTCATGCCACTAATTTCGTATTGTAATTCCGGCTTTAGAGTAATTGCTGTTGGTTTGAAATTAGTAGTATATTTAGAGTGTTTAAATTTTTATTTTAGTTATTCTGTGTAATAGTTTATAATTATACATATTCTATAGTAATTAGAATAAAAAACCAGAAAAAAAGGCAAGAGATCGGGATTGCATTCCCTAGTTACGTATAAATGGCGCCAAAGCGCAAGTACAGATACCGGCAAACTTCTTGAACAAATGTCCTTGCCTGCGCTGAAGCGATTTTTAGGTATCACTGGGAGTGGAGCCGGCGGGCGGTGGTGTGCGGCGGCGGGAGAGTGACGTGTCGATCGCGTGATTGGTAAATCAGTTGACGTTTGTGTCCCGCACTGCGTCCACGTTCCTTTGTCCTGGTATGGCTTGAATCGCACTTGGCCGGTTCTCATTTCTTGTCGTCATATTTTAGAAGGTAGTAAAAATTATATTTAATAACTCACAATAATATCTGATATACACTAACAATCTACAAAAATTAAAACTAACTATTGTTAAAAGTTATCTACGTAAAAAGTATTCTACAGTTAATTGAAAGACAAGACTATTTGCTCGGATGTGTATGATGCGCAAAGTTTCCCCTACTCCCTTGTATAATGCTCAAGAAGTTTGCCGGTATCTGTACGGCACCAGAAAAAAACGGCGTCGAAAAAGTCACCGCTTTAGATCATGTTTGTATAGTGATGAATTTTGAACAAAAAGGCCTTACCAGTATAGGGCAAACAAGTGGCGATCCACCATCTCCCTTACAAATATCCTTTCCATTCGCCCCCATAGCGCACATAAAGGACGAGTGAAGCTCAAAGAACTGACCCAGACGCGTATTACGTAGCGCAGTTTGACATTGACGTCTATCTACTACTGAGACTTTCACCTGTGAGGATAAAACTCAAGTTTAAATTCAGCAAACGTTACGAATTAAGCTTGGTTTTGGAAAGCGGTTTGATAAAGTTAGTGCAGCTCAGGGAGTGTTCAAGTATTACGTCACGCAATTTTTTGGAGATTCTTGACCCCCCCATGTAACGCGCTGTAACGTTTTTCTGTACCCATTATGTGGTGTTACCAACCCATTGTGTGGTGTGTAAGTGACTCTCCGCCCCGTATCATAACGTTTTACAACCCCCCCAAATTCGTTAATATTCGCTATTAATGTCCTAATCCCTGTGCCTTTCTTCTTTATTATAGCTACTATGGTTGGCGATTAAAGAGTGGCGGAGAGTTTATGGCCAGTTCTTCTCTTCCGTTCTACGCCCTTGATTTGAGAACTGGCAGTAAATGTAAAATTAGAAGCATTTAATGTATATTTCTTTTTAGACGTTCATAAGTGTACATTGTGTTACCTATATGAATAAATGATTTTGACTTTGACTTTGTCGCTCTCCGGATTTACATATACATAGTATTGTCTTTGATTAACATAACTTTTATTCATTTAATAAAACACTATTTTGACCGGATTGAAGTTATGTATTATTATAAATTTACAACTATTTAACATAATTTAATTATGTTAAATAGTTGTAAATTTATTAAATTTATTAAATTGTTTTAATAAAGTGTTTTATTAAATTTAGATATACATATTTTTAACTTTTTTATTGTAAAGAGATGTATCTGTCCAAATAATTAACATAATACTTGAACTCTCCCTGACACCTTAGGAAATAAATTTAGGAATAAGTTAAAACTCTTAGGGTCTGTTTCACAATGTATAGATAAAGTACCAAATAGCTATGCAAGACATAAATTATTGGAAAGATAAATTGTTTAATTTGACATTCATCGGACTCATAACTTATGATGGACTTTATGTGACGAATAATGCTATCTGACAGTCGTGAAACGCAACAATAGTGTTTATCCTACCAATAAGTAATAAATAGTTAATTTGGAACTTATCCGTACATTGTGAATCAGACCCTTAATGTCGTAAAGCTTTGTAATGTCCTGTTTCTTTTATAGCTGCTAGTTTAGTGTTAAATTTTGTGCACTCATGTTTTGTCTTGTTTTACTTTGTATTGTATTTTTTATTAGTGAAACTTTTTTTGTGGATATGTCCAATGTGTCTATGTTTATTTATGTTTTACATTTATTTTATTTTTTCTGTATAGTGATGTATCTGTTTAGTTTCCTTAATAAATAAATAAATAAAACTTACCTTTCTCAAAATATCTTGAAAGCGTCCATCTTTACCGAATTTGTCCTTTCCCCAACCAGACGCTAAGCATTCAGTTCCAGCGAGAGTAAGTCCTCCTGGTGGTGGTAGGCACACGATTCCGACGTTCAGCGCATATTCCATTGGAGATGCGAGGAAGAGGAGAGCAATGTCGTAAAAGAGAGTTTCTGGAACAGGTTTGGTTTATGTGATACGGTGGCGCGGGGCATATTCCGTTCAACCATTCAACGCGCGGGGTGCGTTCCGTTTCACAATTTGACGGTTTCAATTTGACGATTACAATCTATCGAATAATAATACGTTAAATTGTAGTACGTTGAGGTTCACAATCATTCGACAGTTCACAATCTCGCGAGATAGATTACAATCTAACGGTGTTTACAATTTTACGGTGACATATACAATCTATGCAAAGAGGCCAGGCTGAGAGGTCATTGTATATGTTAGTTATTTTTCTGGAAGATATTATAAGAATTTTCGCAAGAATAGTTTAACTTCTGGAAGGTTTATCTGCATAATTCATTTTTGACATTCATGGTAAGAGCTGGCAGCTACCTCGGACAAAGAATTAGTCTATTCAAAGGGGAACGCTGCCAGTATCTTCGGAACCTTGCCTAAAGGGACTCCTTTTAATAATATATTTTAGTTATTTTATTTTAAATTCAAAGTTTTAGTTTTAGATTCAAAGAAAAACTTTAGAAACCTTTAGATTTAATCTTAGTTATAGTTGCATGTTATTTTTAGTATCTTATTGTTAATTAATTATGCATCTCTTGTACTTTACCCTCTGTAGGTGTTTCTTTTTTTATATTGATCCATTTTAGGGTTGCCTGGAAGAAATCGCTTACTAGCGATAAGGCCGTAATAGAAATTAAACATATGTAATATTATATATGTTTAATTTCTATATTAATAATTTTTATAAAGTACTAGCTATTCCATGCCACGCTTCGCTGTAGCACAGTGTGATTGAATGGTTGAGAAATGAGAAACAAAACAAAGAAACCATTTCATATCAGTTAAATTTTGCAATGTTTGTGGGAAAAAAAATGAAAAAAAAAATAGATAAAAACAATCCTTGATGCGGATTATATATCATGGCAAAATGTCTCGATCGGTTCAGAACTTTTTGAAGCGTACACAACCCAGCATAACATTTTACGTAAATTCACTAAAATTTTAGGAAATCTTGCCAAATTACACGACCTTGCTTGGAATGCGTATATTTTTATGAGCTTTTAAATGTCAGATTAAAGCAAATATCCTCTCATAAATAAATAAAACATGTGGCACTCGGGGACTGCCACGGTAAAGCTATTGCATTTTTTTTTTCAACTTATGCAATTATAATTATTTATTTATGCAGTATTTTTTTTGCTTTGATATTAATTCAATCTACCACTCTACCAGACTCAGGCTGTACCGATCTCGTCAGAGAGATGTAAAAACGCAGTATGCGTTCTGTCCCATTCTAACGCGTAAGGTTTTTTTCGTTACGGAATTTCTGGATTCGGTCTACACGCTCGAGGCCCGCGATAGAAGCTATGCAATAGCTTAATAACGGTTACTAGTTAGTTGTTTAATAATTAATCGGTTTTAAACATACTCTTATTAAAGTCCTGGTGAATTACGATTTCAGAGACATCTCTGTCTTGGTAAGGGTAAGTCTCCTTCGTGGTCTGGGTGTCCCATTCCCCAGCTCTCACTCTAAATGCTTCAGAGGCAGCAACATAGTGTGCTGCAGTCAGAACTGCACTGGGGTGAATTAGAGAGCCTCCACCAACGTAGACGTTCCGCTTCATTCCTTCTGGATCACCTGCATTCACTGGCTCGATCCTATGACCAAGGAATGCAGAGCTGGGTGTAAGATTATGTGGTGCTTTTGAAATGTTATATATATATTATGTTTGTATACTAAAAATCTATTTATGAAAATGAGATCGTCTATATTTTTTAAGTGAAACTTCTTTAGGCGTATGAGGGTAAATTTTTACGAAAACGTCACGAAGATGTGCAGCGTTTTTGTCGAAGAAAAGAGATTGAGACCGATGGAGAGAGAGTAAGAAGGGTAAATTATTATCGAATTTTTTTTTTTAAATTTAAATTTCGTAAAGAGAATTTATGAAATTAGTATTTTATATTTTATGCAAAATAATTTATTGAAATCTCAAATGACGAATTGTAAATTAAAATTCTACGTGTTTTTTTATTGAAGAAATAAATTAAAAAAAACATTATAATTTGTATTAATTTGTAGTTTTTGAATTTTTAATATATTAATGACAATTAAATTCATTACATTCCTAACATATCTTTCTTTTTCCCTCCCTTCAAGTCTCGGAAATCTAAAGTTGTAGATTAGAATAAATATGAACAAGACTTAAAAATTAGTTTGCCAAAGAAGTTTGACTTCTGACACGTGTACTTTGTAGCACGCACTTTTTTTATTTTTAATAAGGAAACGCTTTTACTGGAGAATGATAACAATCCACGGGAATTCCCCGAACTTCGCTTCGCCATCTCTGTGACCTGTGACACGATAGCCAACGCCACCTGGGTTACGCCAGCCGCAACTTCTTAGCTGGAAAACCGCATAGTATGAAATACTTCTTTTTTATGTAATAGGAGGTAAACAGGCAGGAGGCGCATCTGATGTTAAGAAATCCCGCCGCCCATGGACACTCACACTGCCAGAGGGGTAGCAAGTGCGTTGCCGGCCTTTTAAGAATTGGTACGCTCTTTGAAGGGCCCTAAGTCGAATTGGTTCGGAAATACTTCAGTGGGCAGCTGGTTTCACATAGTGGTGGTGCGCGGCAAAAAAAATCAGTGGCGCTACAACCTCTTTAGGTCTTGGCCTCAGATTTCTGAATCTGTTTCATAATCATTTTTAAATCTAACAGGCAAGTAGGTGATCAGCCTCCAGTGCCTGACACACGCCGTCGACTATTTGGGTCTAAGACATGTCGGTTTCCACACGATGTTTTCCTTCACCGTTCGAGCAAATGAAGCCCTAGTGGCTAACACTGCTCCAAAAAAAAGTGGGGCAAAACCTGCCTTAAAAAACGCTCAGTTGTTGTACGACAGACGTCAAGGTGATACGGATGGCATTTTGTATTCTGCCTTGACTTCTGATAGTGAAACTCAGCTGCAAATTAAATAAATATTCATAAGTTAAACCCAGTGAGAATATATGTATGACGGCATCTGTTTTATGACTGATTATGTTTAAATTAAAATAGTGTGGTCTGTTTCGTTATACTTAATACGCAAGTGTTCAGCCCTGCGATTCTGCTGATAAACAATAAATTACAAGCTCCCACGTTTTCAGAATGCCAAATCATAAAATGACTGCTTCACGACTGATTTATTTGAGAGCGACCGCCGATGCGAAAACCGCTGTGTGAGTTCGAAAAGTGAGTTACAGAATCGCAGGGCAGTACGGTGTTCAGCCTTCGATACACGCAGTCGAGTTGAGACTCTTGTCTGTAGGACGCTGCTTAAAAGTGTATTCCATACTCCAATAGTCGCGTCCACACCGCACGATCCATCACGATCCAAATGTGCAGGCGGTGTGGACGTGGCGGGGAGCGCGCGCTCCACACCGCGTGCGATCCATTTGTTGTAGGTTTTTTGTTCACTCTCAAAGTCACTTGCCGCGCGTGGTTTGGGTGGTTGTAATTTGAATCGCGTGATCCACCGATATGGTTAAGCCAATACTGTCTTTTTCGTTTTCGTAATTTTTGTCGTAAATATTAAATGTAGCTTGTTGCTGCTACGGCTAGTTGTCGCCGTCGTTGCACGTGTGACACCATAGCCAGACAAAGTTCAACTGATTCAGTATGGATCCGCTGGAGCGTGTTGGATCAGCCAGTCAGGATCGTAAAAGATTGCTCTTGGATCGGCCTAGTACAATCCACAATCCACGCTCCACGCATCGCAATCTGGGATCGCGGATCGCGGGATCGCCGATCCATTTTGGATCGTTCGGTGTGGACGCGGCTAATGGTAGGTCCTTGACCTGTGTAATTGATAACTCAATGGCACTACAACCTTTTTATTTCTGGGCCTCGGATTTCTACCTGTTTCATGATCATTTTTAAAAAAGGAAAGTGGTGATCAGCCTCCTGTTCCTGACACACGGAATCGACTTTGGGTCTAAGGCAAACCGGTTTCCTTACGATCTTTTCCGAATTTCCTGGAGCGAATGTTAAATGCGCACATAGAAAGAAAGTCCATTGGTGCACAGCCGGGGATCGAACCTACGACCTCAGGGATGAATCCACTAGGCAAACCCTGCTCAATTCAATTAAACATGATTTCCAATGAACCAATGAGACATGAAGTATACATACCCGATCAACGGGCGGTACTGGGGTTGTAAGGTTGGGCTTCACCGTGTCAGACAATGGGCAGCACACTTCATAGTATGAGCAGGGGTTGGCTTGGAATCTGAAAATATAAAGCCATCTACAATCTGCTACTTGACCTGTTCCTGAACTGTATCAGTATTTCGGACGGCTCAGTATACAAGTACTGGACAGTCAATGCCCTTCAGTCAAGTCCCCGCGCCGGCCTCAGCCGAAGTCCGAGTCTTTGAGTTATCACTGAATAAATTCAAAACTCTTCCTTAAACGTAAATTAATCAATAAAGCCTTTTATAAATTTGACGATTATTTATGATCTTAATCCTTGGGATTGATTTGCTTTCGTTCAAACAATTTATATGACTCAAAACTTGGCGATTAAAAAGAGTGGCGGAGTTTATTGCCAGTTCTTCTTGCTCACTCGACGCCTTAGCGAACTGGTAGTAAATGTAAATTTAGAATCAATTTTCTATTCGTTCGTATGAATAAAGTTATTCTAAGTTTGAGTTAAGATTTACCATTCATTTGGTATGGAGATTACCTCAAATATTTTATTAAAGGAGTTTTTATAGCGTTAATAACAAATTAAAGGTGTTCCGTATAAAAGTTACCTTATGTCAATGATACCTGCTCCATCAGTTCTGACAGGTTTGTTTGCGTTACACAAATAACTGATAACACAGGTGCCTGATGTTCCATCGTTCAACATACATGATCCCGGTGTGCTTGATGTAGCTGTCAAAACACAGATTATAAGACACTATACTTAATTGTTGTATAGCAGTGTTGGCCTAGTGGCTTCTGCGTGCGACTCTCATACCTGAGGTCGTAGGTTCGATCCCCGGCTGTGCACCAATGGACTTTCTTTCTTTGTGCGCATTTAACATTTGCTCGAACGGTGAAGGAAAACATCGTCTTAGACCCAAAAAGTAGACGGCGTGTGTCAGGCACTGGAGGCTGATCACCTACTTGCCAATTAGATTTAAAAATGATCATGAAATAGATTCACAAATCTGAGGCCGAGACTTAAAGAGGTTGTAGCGCCACTGATTTATTCATTTTTTGAAGTGAAAAGAAGTGAAACTTCTTTACTTTAAAAAAAATGTTAAAATCGCGTCAGGACACGTGACCTGATCGAAAATTCGTAAGACGGATGGAGAGTAGACAGCTGGCCCGACGTATTTAATGTAATATAAATTGTCATGTTTGTGTACGATAGCGCAATAAATAAATATTATATACCACATAAATGATAGTACTTTACTATACTGATAATTAAAGCAATTCGTGCAAAATTATTCCCTAACCATTCCAAAATTAAAATTCAAAGTTAATATTCAAGTTTTCACTTCTCCACTCCCGGAGTGCAACCCGTCGTTTTTTTATACTTAATTATTGTGTCGGCCTTAAAGCCTGAGCGTGCGAGAAACCCTGAGGTTCTTTTTTTGTTGATGACGTTGTACATTAGGGTTGCTACGTGAAGAATGAATAAATACTCGTAGATGGCTTTCCATCTGTACTTCAATGTATCTTTTTTCTTTAAAAAAATATTTTTGTTTTTTTTTATTATTATTATTAAATTGTGTGTTTCGTCACTAATAAATGTTAAGTCTATGTCTCTATATAAATAAATTATCGTTAAATACATCTAATTATCTAATACAAGAGTATATTTAAAAAAACCTATTTAATTAAAAAAAAAAATATCTCTTACCACGCAGAATCACCGGAGGGACAGTTGGCGTGGGGACGGTTGAAGATGTTAAAACGCTATCTTCAAACATCCTTTTCAAGAAATCGGGTTCAGTCTTACTATTCTGGCAAAACGCCAGAGATATAACAGGGACTAATAATATCAGTAATTTGTTCATCTGGAATAAATGATGTTAAATATTATTTTATTGTTTGTTACTAACTACAGGCGTACATTAACTTTATACGGTTTTATACTTGCTCTTAATAATCACAAAATGAAGAGAATCAAAAATCTATGAAAATCTAATATATAAAATTCTCGTGTCACAATGTTCGTTCCCATACTCCTCCGAAACGGCTTGACGAATTTGTTTGGGAACCGGCTACTATATATCTTTTAAAGTTTTAAACCCCTTAAAGTGATGAGGGGTGTCCAACCCAAATAAAAATTGGGGAAAAGTTCAAAGCGGTTACGTTTGCGTTGCATGATACGACTTGTTATTCGAAAATTATTATTAAATGCTTTCGTAGCTTCCTTTTAGATCCTTTATGTGAAAACTATCCAAAATTATCTATCCTTTTTACCATGTTACAGTTATTGAAGTCCGATCCCATATGGGATTTGCCCATGTTTCAAATTGCTTCTAGATTTTTCTAAAAATTTCTAATTCTCGAAGGACGTAGCAATGGCAATAAACGTTTTTGAAGTTGTACTTCTTTAGGCGCGTTATGAAAAATTGATGAGAGTGAAATTTTACGATGCGCGCGCACCTATGACACAAAATTGGCAGTGTGATATAGCGTGCGCGAGCGAGATGGGAATAAGACAATCTACAAGTAAAAAAAATAGAATATGCGTGAAGCTAACTTCACGCATATTCTTAGCTTAGCAGCTTAACAAGAATTTTGAATGACCATGACATCTGACAATGACATTTACCTTTTAAACAAATATAGGAGTTTTAATTATTGTTTAAAATAAATAATTATATACCTAGTTATTTTCATTATACGAATTGATTATCTAAATCAATACTAATTAATATGATAAAATATTTGTGAAAAAACTGTGCCAACCTTCCTGAGTGCTTCAATACAATTGAGGTTAACTATCCGTATGTATTATCGAGTATTATTGTTGATTAAAACTGAAACATGAACCATTATTCATTGCTTTTGTTTATTGCGTTTGTTACAGCAACTTTTTAGAAATATTCTACGACCCTATATTATATCAATAATTGAGAACAAAGATTTAAGCACGAATACTAATAAGGAGAAAATGAAGGCTTGGAGCGATATAACAGAGAAGTAAACATTTTAATAAGTACCTGCATCTCAAAAAAATGACCACATTATTTAATCAAAACATGTAATTTTTCAGATTTAATCTAGCAAATATATGGACAAGAGACAAAAAACAATTGATGAATCAGTGGAAGTGCACTAAATTGAATCAGCTTATCGCCGTGAAACATGAAAAACTGGAGGTGGAACAAAGCCACCATCACCTTCTCGAGACACAATGGATATGGCAGAGATGATACCGCAACGGTTTGAAGTAGATTTCAATGAATTTGATTGTGATGGTGTCGAGGTAGGAATGTTAATTATAAATATGATGTATGGTGATGTTCAAGGTTCAACCTTTCAAGCATAGGTATATGCTCACAACAGTACTTTATTCCCCTACAGGGTAGTTAGAGATATTGTAATACCTCAAAACATCCATGTTGCACTTGTAGTACCGAAACTCTGTCCAGCCAGAAGTGAGCCCATTCCCACTTATAATGGACAGTGGGTATAATACACCTTAATACCTGAGTGCGAACCACTCACCATGATACTTAAATTAATAGATGTTATTTATATATTTCAGGATATTACAAATTAAATCATTTTGGAAACAATTGATATCCCAAAAGCAAATAAAGCCAACAATGACAAGGTAATAAATCAGTTTTGACATAACTTTAATACTAAAAAAGCCAAACAAAGGTGTGCACAACAGTGACAACATAACTTAACAATTTCATTATTTTGTAGGATTAAAGAAAGGTTAAAGAAAATCATGTCGAACTGAACAACAAGAATCCCCAAACAACTCCAAAGAAACCTACAAGGAAGACACCAATATTATATTTAAATTATCTCTATCTCTAAATAGAATAAAAGAAAGTTGCTATTCAGGTCTGTAGCATGTGCTACAAATTATATTATTAACACATTTATATAACTATAATAATATAAATGTGTTAAAAATTTTATAATATGAATTATACAAAATTTTAACTTTTGCATGGACAGAGCTTAAGTTAATATTCTCTTATTTGTTGCAGAAAACAGTTTTGGAGAAGCCTCGTGGATGCACAACCAAGTAATGATTAATTTAAAATTACAAACCGAAATTCTGATGAAGACATTAGAGTCACTTAAAAATAAATAGTATAATGAAATGAAAATGTTTTAAAGATAAATAGTGTTTTATTTGTTTAATGTAAGAGAATAATAATAAATATTTATTTAATTAATTTTTCAAATGTATACTGAACTTTATTGACTTTAATGACTCCTTTTCCAGTCTTTGATTATTTAATTGTAATTAATTATTTGCATGCAATCAAAAACTATTTTTAATAATGCCAAAGAAGTATAACTTCTTACGCGCGTACATAAGTACACGCACCCTTTTTATTAAGAATGGGAAGATACACATGTGTTCTATCTACTATCATTTTTGGAAGAACTCTTACCGTCTCAAAAGCAGAACTGGCATTCCGGCAACGCAGTTGCGAGCCTTCTGGCAATGTGTGTCCATGGGCGGCGGTTTGTTAATCTAATAGGCAAGTAGGTGATCAGCCTGCTGTGCCTGACGCACGCCGTCGACTTTTTGGATCTAAGGCAAGCCGGTTTCCTCACGATGTTTTCCTTCACCGTTCGAGCGAATGTTAAGGACCTATTTGGTCGCCAAACTCCAAAAAAGTACATTGTTTATTTCCATTTTTCGTCATCGTTTCTTGAAGTAGGGCGAATGGAAAAAACATAATAGCCTAAACTTTGTTTTATTTGATAGAATATTTCGTTTCTTTCGCAGGATTTGATTATTCCGAATAAAGTTGTGTTTTATAATAAATATATTTTTAGTTTTCCATGCAATGTAGTCATTTTAAGTATCAATAGTAAAACACTAAATACTTTTAGTATTTAATTTCATAGAAATACAGTTATCAATGTAAAAAATAATAAAATCAAGTATCAAGTAAGTTTAATCCACAAAATATATCAAACTTTTAGGGATACCATACTATTTTTTTTTGTATTTGCCGCGCTTTTTCGTTATCTTCTTTCATTAGCCAGACTCTAACAGTTAAAGGACATTTAGTTCGGTTATCGTCCGGAGCTGCTATACTGTGTCCGCTGTCAGATACACTTGAAGTATGACACCTGTTTACGCTTATTTGACCTTTCAAAGGCCTTTGACCTTTTATCTTACGACGCTATAGGGAAAAAGATGTCATGATATACATTTGGTAGATGTCGTAAATTCTAATACTTTTATCAAACTTACCGTTTACGTATTCACAGATTACATTCACCTTGAACAAACAAACATTACGTCCAAACGGAATCGCGGTCACTTGTGTTATAACTTGAGGTATTCCTCAACTCGCAAGCCACTTCTGACATTGCAAAGTTTTGTCATGTGAATGCCTTCATTGACGACACATATTTTTTTGTTAACGTTGTTATAGAAAACCCCACAACCCTACAATTTAACTGTTCCGTCGTTAGTCTGTTAATTTTTCGATTCTCACATGTTTTTTGCAGTATATTAACATCTGATGTTTGTCATGTCATTTTTATGCGTCACGTGTCAATGGTCATAGCTATCGGCTAACTTCGTCGGAGATGATTTTATCGAAATGTGGGAGAGTTGGATAATACCGAGCCCCTAAGGACTTGTACCTATAATTTGGAAACTTTTTGATATTAAAAGAAACAAAATAGAGTAATTAGTATGACATTTATTCAGGTACGCATAACAAAAATTTCCAAAATTTAAACAAAAATCGATTTCCAAAAAAAATAAAGACGCGGTATTATCAAACTGGTCTGATAATATCATGCCCACATTAATTGCATACAAATGGGTAGTGATAAAAGTAAAAATAAAAAAAAAACTAACATTTTAAGTAATTTTCTTGCGTGATAGGTAGACCCAAATCTTTTCCTAGAAATTAAATCATATAAATAACCCTTTTATCGAAGTAAAAAGAAGTTGATATAAATAAAACATACTTTTCGATGTTTACAGTTTCGCGCCCTATTCGCGCGGAATTATCAAACTATAGTCGTATTATATTAGACGAAGCCCACTGACAGTAGCTAATGTCACTTTGTAAAATAATGTTGCCATATTTAAAGTAATAGTGATACGTTCAGTTCTTGTTCAATCAGATGAATGAACAATGAGTGTGAATAGTTAATCATTTCAAACTGTAAAAAAATTAATATTAACTAAAAAATGGACAATATTCATAAAAAAATCAAAGCATGTTATGGATTGAAGAGATCAATCTAACATAATCTACTTGACAATGCGGGCTGGAAACTGAAATGCTTAATCCAACCTGCATATTCTGGTTGAGAAAAATCCTAAAAGTTGCTAGAGTTGGTAACACTGCGTAGCCCCGAGATAGCCCCATCATGGCGCACAGGTAGTTGAGGCGGGAAAGTTTAAATAAATTTATATAACCTACATTAGTACTGACGCCTCTAGTATTCGGATTTGACATAAAATTATTAGCGAGACAGTTAACGTTTTAAAATAGATGCTATAACATATGTACATAAAAGCTATTGAAACTGATTGACTGACTTTGTTTTCTGCATAAAAATGATTTGTTAATTTAATATTTCAAAAAAAAATAGCCAAATCGGCTACCTAGCCAGCGGATATAATAATATCGCCGCCGGCACAAATATAGGAGTCTTTCCTCCAACTTCGATTTTGTTCCCTTTGGAGTAGAGACTCTTGGGCCGTGGGGTTCAAGTGCACAGGCGCTTATTAAAGATTTAAGTTGGCGCCTAGTAGATAGTACCGGTGACCCGAGAGCTGGTGCTTTCCTCGCTCAACGAATAAGTATCGCAATACAGCGAGTAAATGTTGCCAGCGTTAAAGGTACACTGCCACAGGGACCAAACTTTCTTAATTTGATTTAATTATTTTTATTATTACTATGCAGGTTAAGAAAATTATAAATACTGTGTACTTGATTGTAATCAATAAAATTATGCAACTCATCAACCCGTGAAAAGTTTGACGTTTGCTTTCGTAATAATAATAATTAATTTATTGCAAGAATATGGTACAAAAATGTGTAAGGTGGTACAATCGAAAGTTCGCATATTCCCCACACAATGGCGCGCAAATTTGTCTTTAAATGAATTTTACATTATTAGCCATATGAATTGGTCAATTCTTATATTATTTATATTTATACTTTATTAAATTTATATCAACTACAGTGTCTCACACAAATAATCATTTAATGAATAGTACACTTTTTCAAAAGTAAAACACCAAGTTGCTTTTTAAAGACTAGTCGGAAGATCTTTTAATTATTTTGGTAAATTATTGTTAACCTTAATTGCCATACGTATTTACAAGCATGGTACGTATGGGGGCCTCAGCCTAGCGGTCTTATTAAGTGGCAGCTAGGTGAGCTATACTTGACGTTGGCTAATGCACAAATCGTGCCAGAGCCATTAAAAAAAAGGATGGTCCGTGGTAGAGACAGATACAACGCCATCTTTCCTAGAGAAAAGCTTTGGCGGGTTTTTGAGATTATTAATATAAAACATCAAAAATTACAATTTGAGTAGGCTCCAGTGACTAATGAATAATCTGAAATGGTTTTTAAAGAATCATAAAACCTATTCAAGGCAAGAATTTAGAAAAATATATTTTTCGAAACAATAATCTGGTACTTTAATTTTAATATGTGTATAACATAGGGTCAATTCCTTTGTCGGTCATTTTGTCGTCGATCCAGTCGCGAAGGTTGGCTACATCCACATAGACACCTGGAGTTCCATCCTGACCACACCCAATGCCCCACGCGACTATACCACTCTGCATGTATCTGTCTTTCTCGTGCTGGAATTAATAAAATATGCAGACTATAAAATCAGAATGAAAAACAAATAGTGAACAGATACTTCGGAAATTCGGAACTATTGATACACCAACCAGGGTCCAGAAGATAAACCACTCCTTATATGGAAATTGTATTCGTTTTTACAACAACCCAAGCCAAATTAGAGAATTATCACTAAATAAATTCAAAGCTCTCGTTAAACGTAAATTAATCAATAAAGCTTTTTATAAATTTGACGAATATTTATATGATCCTTGGGATTGATTTGCTCCAGTTGAAACAATTTGTATGATTCAAAACTTAGCGATTAAAAAGAGTGGCGGAAAGTTTCTCGCCAGTTCTTCTTACCCGCTCTTCGCCCTTGACTTGCAAACTGGTAGTAAATGTATATTTACAATTGATTTAACTTCTTTTTTGACGTTCATAACTGTTTACCTATATGGATAAAGTTATTTTAAGTTTGAGTTTGATGAACAGTACGGTCCTGAGATTATCACGCAATCGGAATATTGACGTGCTAATATCGCAGCTGACAATTCAGAATTCATTAACACGTTCACTGCGGCAAGTAAAATCATAATTTTTCATCAGGTGCGGCGGCGGGCCAAAATGCGCCCCCAATGATATTTCCGCCGGTGCGTGGCAGGTCTTTCTAGACCCAACAGCACTAGGATAGATTAAATTGCTATAACTTTGTGGAAACATTATGTATACTTTTTTTTTTATATTGTTAGAATGACCTTGAACCCAACTTTCTTAGGTTTGATTCGCCCCAGGATCTGGCAAACAGGTAATGAGAAATGAAGCAGGAAAAGCGGCAGGCCGATATCGACCTGAACCGCACTAGAATATATTTTTAGTAGTGATGGGACAGAGAAATATCGAAAATAAAACAGAATTATCGTTAAGGAACTGAAAAATGTATTTATTTACTTATGTATGCCTGTCTTGAAAACAGAAATACTTTTTATTTTTCTTAGTGGAAAATATTTCTTCACTGCTGTCACTATCACTGTCAATAACTGCAAGGCGAATTACTCTATTTTCCAAAATTTGTATTTTTCTTGTATTGCTTGCCATCGTTTATTATATCGAACGCTATGTTAGATCAGTTAGATTAGAGAACACTAACTGGCCGGGCGCGCGCTCTGTGCAGTATCGGGTCGCCAGCTGCCTGTTGGGAGGGCGGGCTGAAATAGGCCCACTGCCGCACTCAGCGGATGCACAGCAGCGTCAGTGCGTGGTAGGTCGATAAAAGCCTGCCTTTATTTTTTGATGGGGAAAACCTACAATTTTGACCGCAAGATGAAATATATATTTGTCCCTGTCGAATTTTTACAAACACCTAAGATAATCGTTACGCACCAGTGAGAGGGACATAGATTTCTTCGTCAGCACCAGCTGAAATACCGCGGCAGGCTGATATCGGCCTGTTACGCAGTGAACGTGTTAAAGGATAGATCAACAACAAAGAAAACACCATATTGGACCAAAGTTTGTATGTCTGCTATCTCTTATATACATTTCTACTAGACTTGCAACGAATATTCGGTTACTATTCGGTATTCGGCCTATTCAGCTGCTTTTATTATATTCGGCCAAATACCGAATTTCTACATATTATTCGGCCGAATACCGAATACTTAAATAATATATTTTGTCATAGAAAAATAATTTGTAAAATGAAAAATTAAAATCGATTGATTACGTATATATTCATATTTTCATTTCTGTTATAATCAAGTATTCATTGGTACATAACACAGGTATGTACATAATATAATTATTTTCTGTATTAAACAAGTTAAGAATTTTTCTATGCATTTGAATTATTTTCATAACCAAAATATAAAAGGGGAAGGTTATGGTGCAGAAAGACTCACTTTTCTGCATTTTTACAAGTACAAGCTTTTGGCGCTAAAATCCAGCCGAATACTTTTGCCTAATATTCGGCTATTCGGTCAGAGACCTCGCCGAATATACTATTCGTTGCAAGTCTAATTTCTACACAATTATGACCAAATTAATCTAACGAAACCAAAAAGAAGAAATATAGCTGCATTGCTTAAAATAACGGCGAATAATGGCAAGATGCTTACGTTTGAGGAAGCGCAATTTAATAGCTTCTAATTTTTGATGTTTATAGAGAAGAGAATTCAGAACCATAGAGAAAGAATAAGGTTCTATACCTTCTCTTCTACATTTTATAGCAACAGTTTTCCATGGATTACACGAAATTGTTCCAATAATTTCGTGACGCAGCAGCATAATACTGACACTTTGTAGATAGAACCAGACTTATTTTTTTTTAAATATATATTGATTTAATTTGTATAGAGGTAGGAAGGAGTTGCTTTTCCTCCAAGGGCTTGTCGTAGTTCCTACAAAATAATTGATCTGATAATTAACGAAAGGCTGCAACTCAGCGAGAAATACTCTGTTAGCACGCTTGAACAGAGCCACTGTGGCCATTGGGCCGGCCAGTCAATTAGACTGGACCAGGGAACCTCCCTTTAGATCGAAAGAAGATCTACACACTCCTCTACACATAGTATGTTATATGAGAAATTAACTATTGTGGTCGGATAATATACTACTGTTAGCTACATGTTCTGTCTTTGTACTATTAGATAATTAAAATCAGTGGCCTCAGATTTCTATTTCTGTTTCATGGCATTTAACATCAGGGGATCAGCCTGACACACGAGTTTTTGGGTCTAAGGCAAGCCGGTTTCCTCGCGATGTTTTTCTTTACCGTTCAAGCGAATTATGCGTACATAGACAGATAGTCCATTGGTGCACAGCTGGGGATTGAACTTACGACCTCAGTGATGAATGTCGCATGCTGAAGCCACTAGGCCGACACTGCTCTATAATATACTAGTGGACCCCACAGACGTTGTCCTGCATGATATTTAAAGCGATTAGGATATTAAGCAAAGTATGAAAGTACCGACTGCAGTGCCATCTGCCGCGCTGATTTGTGAATCTAAACCATTCCCAGATCCCCTTGAACACACACAAAAAATTTCATCAAAATCGGTCCAGTCGTTTGAGAGAAGTTCAGTGACATACACACTCACAGAAGAATTATATATATAAAGATTTGAAAACTAAGGGATTTCAGTTATTTTGTTACATATTTTATCTACTTTAAATATCATAAGCAATAAAAGTATTTATTTTCATTTAGGAATCAATTTATTACTACCAAATGTGCAATTGAAATAAATTATTAATTTTTAATGTACTTTTAGTTCAGTATTTTGGCTATATTTATATATATATATTATTTTGGATATATACCGTGGCGGGCTTTTTTGTAGGACTAATTATGATAAACATTTCGATCATACATTACGCTGTTTTGGCAGCGCACGCCAGAATAGCTCGCAGATGATAGATTCTTCCTACTTACTTGATATTTTGGACAATTCACACAATATCTTTAATTTGTTGCATATATATGTCATTCTAATGTATAAGCTATATTAATATAAAGTTTCATCAAAATCCATTCAGTTCTTTTTACGTGAAAGAGTAACAAACATCCATACGTCTTACAAACTTGCGCGTTTATACTAAGTCAAAATAGAAAGGCGTGTAAAATTAAACATGTAAATGTTAAGCTGAATTAAAAAAAAATTCAGTGCCGCTACCTCTTTAGGTCTTGGCCTCAGATTTCTGAATCTGTTTCATGATCAATTTTAAATCTAATAGGCAAGTAGGTGATCAGCCTCCACTGCCTGACACAACGCCGTCTACTTTTTGGGTCTAAGACGATGTTTTCCTTCACCGTTCGAGCAAATGTTAAATGCGCACATAGAAAGAAAGTCCATTGGTGCACAGCCGGGGATCGAACCTACGATCTCAGGTATGAGCCATGCTGAAGCCACTGCTCTTTCTTCTCAAGTAAAATTTTAAACATCTATTAATAAACTTTTATAGCCTTACCGGTATAGGGCAAACAAGTGGAGATCCACCGTCTCCCTTACAAGTATCCTTTCCATTCTCCCCACCAGCGCACATAAAGGTAGCGTGGAGCTTAAAGTATTGACCCAGACGGGTTTTCCGTAGCGAAGTTTGACATTGACGTCTATCTACTACTGGGACTTCCACCTGTGAAAATATAGATTTAAGTATACTAACTATTATTTATATTAAGAACAATAAATTATAATTTAACCATCTACATGGAACCAACAACAGAGCTGGTGCGGCTTGTGAAGCGGCTAAAAAAGCTAAAGCATGCAAATACAGGGATCTAGGCTCAGAATATGATTTTGTCCCATTCGGTCTCGAGACCCTTGGTCCGTGGGGTCCTATCGCTTTAAGGCTTTTTAAAGAAATATCAAAAAGGTTAGTCGACATCACAGAAGACCGAAGATCTGGCAGCTACCTCGGACAAAGAATTTGTCTAGCTATTCAAAGACTGCCAGTATCTTCGGAACCTTGCCTAAAGGGACTTCTTTTAATAATTGCCTAAAGGGACTCCTTTTAATAATATATTTTAGTTATTATATTTTAAAGTTAGTTATTGTTTTTATTGCCCTTTTTGACGTGACAACGTCTTATAATTCGATGGAGCCGGCTGCACGTACGAAAAAACATGACGCATGCGGCGTTACCTCGCTCTGAGGCGTTCCATTTAAGGCTTGAAGTGCAAGCGAGAGCGCGGAACGAGCGACAAAGAGGCACATACGGTCTCCTGTGATGTCGACTAACCTTTTTGATATTTCCTTAAAAAGCCTTATAGCGTTAGGACCCCGCGGACCAAGGGTCTCGACACCGAATGGGACAAAATTTAGGATTCAAGCTGTTTCGGCACATAAAAGTCTTTACTAACAGTTTAGGAATGAGCTCACCTTTTTCAAAATAACTTGAAAGCGTCCCTCTTTCCCATACTTGTCCTTTCCCCAACCAGACGCTAAGCATCGAGTTCCAGGGAGAGTTCGTTCTCTTGGTGGTGGCAGGCACACGATGCCGACGTTCAGCGCATACTCCATTGGAGATGAGAGGAAGAGGAGAGCAATGTCGTAGAAGAGATTTTCTTGAAAAGGTTCGGAGGATATTTTAAAATTAAGTCCCTCGGCGGCGTCTGAACGCGTTAAACTCAAAAACTAAACTTGTACGAATTTCAACAATAGTGTGTTTCAAAGGTAAAAATTGACTAAAGCAAATATCCTGTCACAACTAAAGGACGATTATTAGTTAGTAGACTTTTATAATTAACTAGCTGTTCCCTGCCACGCTTCGCTGTGGCACATTGTGATTGAATGGTTGAGAAATGAGAAACAAAACAAGGAATACATCTATATATATATATAAAAATGAATTGCTGTTCGTTAGTCTCGCTAAAACTCTAAAACGGCTGGACCGATTAGGCTAATTTTGGTCTTGAATTATTTGTGGAAGTCCATAGAAGGTTTAAACAGTAAACATAAATAATAAGTAAAGAAAAATACTAAAAATAAATTTTTCATTAAAATATGTTCCTATTGTGTGTTCTTATGTCTTTTTAGAAATAAAGAAGTGTCACTTGGTTGTCACGTATAGGTGCCTTCAGAAATGTGTGTTTCATGGCTGTAATTTGAGGTTGTCTTTGGTCTGTTTTAAAAATGTTGCATTACGCTTAGACACAAATAAATGTAGGTGATAGGAAGTTCACGAGTTCATCTAGCGGACCTGACAGACGTTGTCCTGCATGATATTTCAAGGGATTAGGATATTAAATAAAGTATGAAAGTACCGAGTGCAGCGCCATCTGCCGGGCTGATTTGTGAATCAAAACCATCCAGGGTGTCAAATTCAAATCGGTCTTTCTCTTTCTTTCTCTAACAGGAGACAAACGGGCAGGAGGCTCACCTAATGTTAAGTGATACCATGGACACTCTCAATACCAGAGGGCTCGCGAGTGCGTTGCTAGCTTTTTAAGAATTGGTACGTTTTTGAAGGACCCTAGTCAAATCGGTCCAGCCTTTTAAGGGGATTTCAGTGGCATGCACACGTACAATAGAATTATATATATACAGGTGTTTAATAATTATTCGGTTTTACATACTCTTATTAAAGTCCTGGTGAATTACGATTTCAGAGACATCTCTGTCCTGGTAAGGGTAAGTCTCCTTCGTGGTCTGGGTGTCCCATTCCCCAGCTCTCACTCTAAATGCTTTAGAGGCAGCAACATAGTGTGCTGCAGTCAGAACTACTCTGGGGTGAATGAGAGAGCCTCCACCAACGTATACGTTCCGTTTCTTTCCTTCTGGATCCTCTGCATCCACTGGCTCGATCCTGGAATCAACGAATACAGTTATCATTAGTCATAATAGTATTTTTTGTCACAAATATGAGAATGAAAAATCTATATTTTTATTTTTTCATATAGATTTTTTTTTACTTTAATATGGCAACCATCCACGGGAATTCTCCGAATTCCGCTTCGTCATCTCTGTCGCCTGTGATACGAAAACCAACGTCATGTCGGTTACGCCGGCCGCAACCTTCGCGCTGGAAAATCGAATTGTACGAAATAAATATTGATAAGTTAAAACCAGTGAGAATATAATATAGCTATATATGGAATCAAAATCAAAAATTATTTATTCATATAGGTAACACAATGTTCACTTATAATCGTCAAATTCTTCGTCAATCGACCAGTCACCACAAGTGGCACCGATTCACGAGTATGACGCATGGCCAGCCATCGGCCTCCTCGCCATGTTTTAGGGAGAGAGACAACCCGACGCATGGACGTCGCCACAAGCAATGACATTAAAGCGAGCATGAAATGTGAACTTGGCTTCTATATCTGTTTGTTCTTAATACGCAAGTAGGTGATCAGCTCTCGGAGTCTGGCAGAACTCTCTCTAAAGGACGCTGTTGTGATGAGGTTCAAATGAACATGCTTCTCAATGAAACAATGAGACATGAAGCTATATATGGGCGAAAATTAAGGCGTCGCCGACATAAAAGTACATACCCGATCAACGGGTGGTGCTGTGGTTATAAGATCTCCAGACTTCCTTCTGTTAGACAATGAGCAGCACACCTCATTGTATGAGCAGGGACGGCTTTGATCTCTGAAAACGTGAACATACATACAATCTGCAACATCGATGACGTCATCTTTAATCGCTATCAGTGTTTCAGACCACTGAGTATATTTAAAAGTACCAGCCAAGTCCCCACGCAACCTAACCCAAGGTCTGGAGACGCTCTTGTACTGGTGGTGGTAAAAACCCTCCATTCGCCCATAGGTAGGTAAATAATCAGTGCCGGATAAAGCCAGCGCGGGGCCTGTAGCAAATTCTGCCTAGGGGCCCTTGGTTAGGCTTTAGGATTTAAATAGTTCGCCTGTTTCCTCAAGATACTTATAATCGATATTATATTAAAATCGATAAGAAAAGTACAACCTCGGCTACGTAAACTCGCAAAATAAATGTATACCTATATAAAAATAAAAATCTGAAGGGTACAAATAACATGCTAGTCTAAATATGTATATCGATTATAATTAAAATTTGAAAATTAACGTTAAAAAGATAAATATGTACTTATTTTTACGATTATACTTGACGAAGTCGAGTTTATTTTTATGTGGAAATGAAGCATCGACTAAACGCTTCGCTTTAAAGGTATGCAAGATATTTTACGCTACTATCTAAATTAATACTTTTTTTCAGACAGGCGTTGGAGCGCGGGGCCCTAAGTTCGCGGGGCCCGTAGCATTTGCTACTCTTGCTATGTGGCTAATCCGGCACTGGGTAGGTTATAAGACGAGTTGAGCTGCAAAACCCTTTAAGCCAACAGCAAGATTCCAATTCTATAAGAAAAAGTGCGTGCGTACAAAGTACACATGTCAAAAGTGAAACTTTTTATAAATAAATTATTACTAAAGTAGAAGCCCCAATAGATGATCATGTACCAGTGTATGATCACTCCATGTATATGTATATCTATATTCACACTGTTTACACACTGTATACGTGCTAATGATAATATAAATTAATTAAAAATCTGCGTTTTCTAAACAAGACGTTATGCGACAGAATGGCCATCTAAAGTTCTAATATGTAACTACTAAACGAATACATCAACCAAAAGCGTGTATTTTTTCTCGATCTCCCTTACTCTCTCTCTCTCAATCTTTTTCACTATACCTCTCTCCCACCTCCATGGCACTGTGCGTGTTGCGACGTTTGCTCTATCTCACTCTCTCTCTCGATCTTTCTCACTTGCATGCTCCATACTCTCGCTCCATGGCTATTTGCTTTATGCTACGTTCGCCCTTTCTCACTCTCTCTCAATCGGTCTCAATCGCTCTCTTCCTTTTCATCGACAAAAACGCTGCATATATTCGTGACGCAAATATTATTATTATTGCGTTTCATCCTTAAAAAAATTACCCTCATGCGCGTAAAGAAGTTCCTGCAAACAGTCACTGGTTGGCAAGTCAGTGCTTAGAGTGGTAAAGGTTTTTTTCTCATAGGTAACACTGACATTACACTGTCTTATTATTCTAGTTTTTTTACGTGAAACTTCTTTAGGCGCATGAGGGTAATTTTTTTGTGTCTCGACACACAAGAGCGATTGAGAGAGAGTGAGAAGGGCAAATAACCTTATAGAAATTCTATTTTTACACGCTTTATATTAGCTTCACCTGTATATATGTATGTAACCGACTCCTTCGGACTCGATTTTGACCCACTTTTAACGGACAGATTTAATTCAAACTTTGCGCACCTGTCAAAGATCAATGACAAAGCAATAATCCGAAAAAAAAAAAAAAAGTTTAACTAAAAAATAAATAATAGTTTAAAAAAACTAGAACACACGATTTTAAAGCACATCAAACTAAAAATTGATAAATAATTCCTAATTTAGGCTGAAAATGGTCATATTTTTCGTCTATCGAGCAACCCACGCTTTTTCACAATAATACCAGTATTTTTTGTTCATTACCATTTTCAGCCTAAATTAGGAATTATTTATCACTTTTTAGTTTGATGTGCTTTAAATGCGTGTGTTCTAGTTTTTTTAACTATTATTTATTGTAATTAAAATTTCAAAATATAATAATATTTTATATTTTATGCAAAATAATTTATTGAAATCTCAAATGACGAATTGTAAATTAAAATGCCACGTTAAGATTTGTATAAATATGAACAAGACTTAAACATTAGTTTGCCAAAGAAGTTTCACTTCTGACGTGTACTTTGTATGCATGCACTTTTTTTACTATTTATTTACATAGAAGTGTACAAATAAAAGTTACCTCGTATCAATGACTCCCACTCCGTCAGTTATCACAGAATTGTTTGCGTTACACAGATAACTGTTAACACACGCGCCGGATGATCCATCATCCAATATACATGATGCGGGCGTGGCTGATGTAGCTGTCAAAAATAAGGCATACAAATTATAAACATGTGTTAGCTTTTAATATTTATTTAATTAAATTCTAAGCATTTATATGAAACATATTCTTTTGCTACAAGTGCGCATGTGCAATAATTACTCATTTGACTCATTCGGTTATTTACGAATTGTTACGAATTGACTCGAATAACTGCCCGAAGTGGGAATGTCGAGTTGGAGTGGGGACTAGATGATAAAAGAGGTTGTAACACATGCGCACAGGCAATTCCTTTGTTCAAGTTTGAAGTTTTGACAGTTTACGTAAAATCAATGTGTGAATTATAGTGAATCAAGTCATCATTGGAGTGTTTAATTTCCTACCCTAAGAACTAGATCAACTAGCCGCAAATAAATGTGTGTAAACAATAAACTACAAGCTCCCTCCTTATCAGAATGCCAAATCATAAAATGACTGCTTCACGACTGATTTGAGAGCGACCGCCGATGCGAAAACCGCTGTGTGAGTTCGTAAAGTGAGTTACAGAATCGCAAGACAGATCCCATATTTTGCAGTGCATCTGATCTCTAAAATTGCCTGGTGCTGATGAGTTTTTAAAATTGCCTTAAGAATTTTAGAATTTAATAAATTGGCACCAAATTTGTATAATATAGTCTAAAAGGACTTACCACGTACCGGCACAATGGTTGAAGGCTTCTTCAGACCGAGGTTTCCAGGGCGTTCGCCAAATACCTGTTTGATCACCGTATTCAAGTCTCCAGAGATACTGTCCTGGCAAAACGCCAGGGATATGATAGCGACTAGTATCAGTAATTTGTTCATCTGGAAAAAATAATGTTGTAATAATTAAATATGTTGTATGCTATTTTATTGTTGATCTGAAATTAAGACCACTAAAAGCGTACCTTATACAAAGACATACATATAACAAAAAATCAGGTTACATAATTTATAAGGCAACGGGCGGCCTTATCGCAAACAAGCGATTTCTTCCAGGCAACCCTAATGTGGAACAATAAAAAAGAAACACCCACAGAAGGTACAAGAAGTGAAATAAAAAAAACGCAAAATAACACGTAACTATAACTAAAATATAATAAAGTAAACTCTAAAGAAACATAAAAATAATCATTAATATATAAAAAAATATAAATATGTATAAACAAAAATTTAAAAGCCAATCAAAAGGTTAAATGAGTCACAATATATAAGTAGTAGCTAATTACGAGGCAGAAAAAAATTACTAAAAAGAAGCTTTTTAAACAAATTTAAAGACAGCTCGTCTGATATCAATTGGTAAGGAATTCCATAGCATGATACTTTGCACAGTAAAGGAGGAGTGATAGAATTCAGTTTATCTTATAAACTGAATTTTTGTTAGTCTAGTGCAGTGGTGGGCAAACTTTTTTAATGGCGGGCCACAAAGTTTAAGAAATTCTAGAGGAGGGACAGAATCATAGAAAATGCGTTGTGTGTTAAAGCTTTTAACCATAATATAATTAAAACTTTACAAGTAGAATCTACTTTTTCTTCTGAACCTTCAAAACTTAATTATAACGCGCCATATACTATCCATATTGATGGACCCCCGACGGGCCGGATTAAATACTTTTGTGGGCCTGAGTTGGCCCGCGGGCCGTACTTTGCCCATCACTGGTCTAGTGCCTGTTATGTGTAGCTCTTATGATGCAATTATGAAACCATTAAAAAAAAAATTACAAATTTTAATAATATCGTCAACCTTGTATCGTGGGTTTTTACAATAATTGGAAACAGAAGACGACAACAAATATCAAGTTTGCAGATTCGAAGTAGGTATGTTTATATTGTTGTTCACACACACTAAATAGGTATATATATGTCGCAGCCAATTTTAATAAGCCGTTCAATTAACAGCCTAGCCTTTTAACTAAACAGCGCCGTTTAACTAGCGGCCTGAAAGATATTCAGCCGTAGGGTTTGTAACATCATTTAATAAACTGGCTAATGCTTAGGCCATTCGTGAGTGATCATGTGGCAGAAATAAAAGAGATGAAACATCTGTCATAAAAATATTTCTTTAAAAATTAAATTGCTTGAGTCAGTCACAGCTAAATTCACATTATTATTGTCACTACACTCTTCCATTGTACTTGTTGATTTTCATTAAACTTTGGAAGACACCATCAAAGATGTGGTTTGTCGACGCCATATTGATAGTTTTTGAGTTTCATTTCGAGTTTGAGAGTGGCAGAAAGTGGAACTTAATTTAAATTAACAGTCAACAGGCTTGGCAAGTAATTAAACGTCATCGATCAATTCATTTGTCTAGCTGTTTGATCAACTAGCTAAATATCTTTTAGGCCGCTATTTAAACGGCGCTGTTTACTTAAGAGGCTAGACTATTGATTGAATGGCTAATTAAGCTCGTTGGCTGCGACATCAGGCATAGCCCAGACTTTAAATATAATTCTAGTAAAACAAAAATTAGTTCACTTTTGTTTTTGTTTAATAGAAATCATTTGTTTGTTTGTTGTGGTGTCGGAACGTGTTCTTAAAAGTCAGGTTTAAATTCGCGCGGTAATAATATTATGTAAGCTACTCAATGAATTTTAATGAAACTTTACTGTTAAACAGCTTATACATCAGAAAAACAAATAGGCTGAATTTTATAAAGATATCGTGTGAATTGTCCAAAATATCAATTAAGTAGGAAAAAATCTACCATCTGCGAGCTATTCTGGCGTGCGCTGCCAAAACCGCTAGAGTTACACATATGTATTGTATGATGGAAATGTTTATCTTAAATAGTCCTACAATAAAGCCCGACACAGGATATATCTATATCTTATGTGTAAGCCATTATAGCCAAAATAGTGAACCATAACTACAATAAAAATTGATAATTAATTTCTAATGCTCATTTGGTTGTAATAAATTGATTCCGAAATGAAAATAGATACTTATATCGCTTCTGGTATTTAAATTTATATTATTTTAATCCTGCACAGACGAAGTCGCGGGCACCAGCTAGTACATATATATAGATGTAGAAAGCGTCCAACGACGCGCTCGTATTGTTTTCTGAAGTGCAAAACAACACAAACGAGACAGAGACCTTCACAAAGCTGTTTGGTTTGTTACAACCAGATCTTGACTGATTGTGTCTCCATTCATAACTATTGACGAAACATGGCTTCACACTAAAACCAATAAAACAGTCCATAACTTGGAAAAAACGATATCTAACTGAGGGCTGGCCATGCGTCATACTCGTGAACGGGTGCTACTTGTGGTGTGACTGGTCGTACTTGGATTCGTGTATGCGGTGATGTTAGTTATTTCGACTATGTATTTGCGTGTTCCCACGAGAATGTAAGTGCAATCTATTTCACCATGCCTCCTGCTGATAAAGGACAAAACTTTGTTTTTTTTAAATGTATGTTATTATTATTAATTACTTAATATGTCATGTGGAACATGGTGTAAAGGTTGCAGATCCTTAATAAGGTTGTCTAAAAAAATGGCGATTAAAAAGAGAGGCGGAGAGTTTATTGCCAGTTCTTCTCTTCCGTTCTACGCCCTTGAGTTGAGAACTGGTAGTTAATGTAAAATTAGAAGCATTAATATGTATTTCTTTACTGACGAGTCATAAGTGTACATTATGTTACCTTTATGATTAAATGATTTTTTACTTCATTTTACTAACTCCGAAGAAATTTAAAGAAGATTCTATCAACCGGTCAAATCAGCGGTTTTAACTGGGGCAGTTGATCGAATCAACATTTCGAAATCAGTTCACGTTTATTATTTATTTATTAACACTTCGTTGCAGTATAATACAATTGACAAAATTAAATGTAATGGAGGGCAACTGGCGGCCTTATAGCTTTCGAGCGATCACTTCCAGACAAACACTATTGTTATAACATCCGTTATGTTTTATGTTTTTTTTTAATTATGATCGAATGAATAATTAATATATTAAAAAACGGGTATAATCTTATTATTTTCCTCTATTATATTTTAGTTTTTTTAATCATTTGAGATACTCGTCAGAATCATAGCAAAGTATGTCAGTATTCTTAATCTAATATATAAAATTCTCGTGTCACAATGTACGTTCCCATAATCCTAAACGGCTTGACCGATTCTTATGAATTTTTTTATGCATATTCAGTAGGTCTGAGGATCGGCTACTATCTATCTTTCAAACCCCTAAGTGATAAGGGGTGTCCACCACAAAAAAAATATGATACATCATATAAAAATACATACCAACCTTATTTTCACCCCTATACGATCAACCCCTATTTTTTATTATAGTAGATAGTTATATTATTGAACTAAAAAAATGGTTCCTAAAAATAATACAAACGCAAAACAACCTTTTGCCGGTCAGCTAATAAATACATAAATAACAATTAACAGTTAAAAGACAGTCAGGTGAGTTATTGTCCGCGGCTGTGTACTATACCTGTATGTTTAAATTTAATCAAATATAAATATACGATACAGATAATATAAGAATTGACTTTGACTAATAATGTGAAATTCCTTAAGTCAAATTTGCACGCCATTGCGTGTGGCAGAATATGCGAACTTACGATTGTACCACCTTACACATTTTTGTACCATATTCTTGCAATAAATAAATGATTATTATGCTGTGTTTGAAGAATCCTGTCAAATACTACACTTCAACAATAACACCTGTTCACGCTCCTTGACCTTTCGAAGGCATTTGACCTTTCACCTTACGTCGCTCTAGGGAAAAATAAGTTGGTAAACATTTGGATGTCGTAAACTCTACTAGTTTAATCAAACTTACCGTTTACGTATTCACAGATTACATTCACCTTGAACACACAAACATTACGTCCAAACGGAATCGCGATCACTTGTGTTATAACTTGAAGTATTCCTCAACTCGCAAGCCACTTCTGACATTGCAAAGTTTTGTCATGAGCACGCCTTTAGGCCGGTGGCAGACCGAAAACTAAGCTATGCCAAGGCTAAACTAAGCTATGCCAAGCAAGCCAGGCTAAGCTAAGCTAGAAATAAATAGCGTGCACACCAACAGCTAAGCCAAAGGTCAGTCAGTGTTGCGTAGTTCAATTAGATGGATGTGCAAAGGGTGTGCGGGGTAGCGGGAGGGGCTTAGTTTAGCTCGTGTAGCTGCGCATCGGCATACACAACTAACTTAGTTCGCATAGTTTGCGGTCTGCACACAAGTATGGAAAACTGCGTCAGCTATGCTAGCTAAGCTAAACTAACTTAGCTTAGCTCTTGGTCTGAAACCCGTATTATTGACGAGACATATTTTTTTTGTTTACGTTGTTGTATAAACGCGCTACAACTCTACAATTTAACTCGACAGTCCCTACGTATATAAAGACATGTCAAAATTCTATTTTTTTTTATTTCATTTTTACCTTTCTCTTGTAATATTTTGTGGTTTAGATAAACTTATCGTATAATAGAACCAGTAGATTGGTTTCACAGACTTAGTGTCGTATATACGAACAACTATATATCTTAATATATATAAATTACGTGTCACGTTGTTTGTCCGCTATGGACTCCTAAACTACAGAACCGATTTCAATCAAATTTGCACACCGTGTGTAGTTTGATCCAACTTAAAAAGATAGGATAGATACATCTCAATTATAAATTGTAAATTGAGATGTAAGCAATATTATTTTATTGCAAATTATTTGTTTATTATTTGACACAATTCTAACAGATGGCGCTGTGTTGAAAGTAACAACGTTTCACATAAGCTACAATTTAATGGCATAACATAAGTGGTCCCCATGACTGGTGTTCTCCTACCGTATCCCTTGAATAGTTTACTACTGTGTAGCAAAAATCTTAGCCACAGCAACGCTTGGCCGAGTCTGCTAGTATTATATACAGGGTGTCCCGTAAAGAATGGATAATCCTTGAACCCCGCACGGAACAGCTCTCCAGCGCTCAGAAAAAAAAACCAAGTGATAGCCAAAATATGTTTTTTTTAGAAAAACATACGTTATTTTTACTTTACTTCACATTCATGTGCACAATGGCCACAAAGTAATGAAATTTGTGGCGTTTATGGTGTCATCTTATTCCTGATAGACTATACTACTAGAAATACATTAAATAATATAAGTATCTATGATACTTTTTTCAAAAACAAAATAATAACTTGAGTTTTTGACATGAAATTTGATAACAAAATAATTTTGGCATAGTTTGAGAGTGTTTCATAAAAAAAAAGTATGAAACGTAAGTGGCAGCTATTTAAAAAAAATGCGCAGTTCATACAGTTTACAAAATGGTGTATATCTTTGTACTACGATTTTAAAAGCACGCCAATCGACGCGAGCGGGAGTCATGTCGAACTTAACGTCATTTATGGGGCTTTCCCTAGTAAAACGCAATATTATAATACGGTTAAGTGGTGTGTTATATAGTTATTTTGCATTAATATCACTATAACTGTGAAACATGAGTAACGATAGATCAAAGTTATTATATATAGTGGATATTGCTAACTCTAAAAATATATATAAATTATAAAAATATAATAATAATAAAAACAATGGACCCATAATTCTAAAAGATTAAATTTTTTTAAGTTTTTATGCCACTTTTATCTGATTCCGGTGTTTAAATTGTATGTGCCATCAAAGATAAAGGTATATCGTCAATCAACAATTAAACATTCGTTGAAAAACATTACCTCACCATTGGATCGTGAGAAATTAAAAATAAGTTACATTTCGACAGCAAAAAACTAGCCAGAGAGATGGAAAACGTTGATATAATAGAAGCTCAATCGAATCCATCAAAAATTTGTAAGTACAGCAATGTTTGATTTTCAGAAAGTTCACCCATGCTAACATCAGAGTTCTAACCAATATTAGTAAAATTATGTACGAATATTATAGTTATACTATTTTTGGTGCTGGAATAAAAGAAACTGTTTGTTACATGTGGGACGAAACAACACAATATCTGTATAAATTGTAGCTTATGTGTTATTCTAATGTATAAGTGTATATATTGTAAAGTTTCATTACAATCCATTCAGTAGCTTTTCCGATAAGGAGTAACAAATATCCATCCATACTTATAAACTTTCGCGTTTATAATATTAGTAGGGTTCTATTCTTATCAAATAATTTGAAATAGACTTTTGAAATTGTTTATTAGCCGTTAGGCGTGTATATTGATAAATTAGATTTGTTTATAGAATTGGCATTCTTAAAAAAAACATCGTACGATAAAATATATTTATTCACAAAAATTCATACACTATCCTTACACAAGATACTTACGCCCGAATCCAATAACCTATCACAATCCATAATCCACCATCTGAGAAAGTAATCTTAATCCAAATGTTGTAACAAGTGTGCCAATAACCGATCGACGGATTGTAATAGCCATCTGTCGATACAAGCTATCCATGGGAGGTCGTATCGGTGTCTGTGGATAGACCTTTGTATGAAAATGACAGTTGACGAAAGCTCGATTTCAACAGTTAATTATTTTAACAGATTTTAACTTGCACCAGTTTTTTAAATAATTAAAAAGCTGTTTGTTATGTTTTAAACATACACATGTATATTTTAATGATATTTGTATGGTTTTATTTACTTTATTTGGTTTACATTGATTATCAAATATGAGTGAAAACTCGGTAAAATGAAACGACAAAGAGCATTTTATCCGTCGCCAAAAAGGGATTGTCTTCGTACGGTTTGGTTATTGGGATGCAGATAGGAGATCGATCGACTGTCACGGTCTAATAATCCACAATCACAGATTGATGAACTATCTGAGATTGTGGATTAATTATTGGGTTCGGGCGCAAGATGTCGATAGTGTCGGAGACAACATTCAGTAGCAACGTCTTTGTTAACGAGGACCTGCAACAGACTGGTTCTAGCCAAACGCAGACAACCTTGGTTTTCACCGCACATATCCCCTAAGTACAAAGAACTGTTCTTAGAGAACACTTGCGTTGCTTAAGACTTTCTGTAGATATGGCCTAGGGAGCGTTAAAGTATTACGTCACGCAATTTTTGGAGATTATTTCTCCCCTGTCTCTCCCCCCCTGTAACGCACCGTAACGTTATTCTCTACCCAAGTAAAGTAAAAAGTTTCGTGACCACCCCGTGGCTCTTTATACTTAAAAGTTACCATTATGTCGTATAAAGTACTGAAAAGTCGAAAATAATATTAACATTACGCATTATGCGTAATTTAATCACCGTCCCGCATCGTAACGTTTTACCCTCTACGATCAACCCCTATTTATTTGTTAGTTAAGAGCTTATAACTTGAACTCTGAAAGGTTTATATACAGAAAAATCACAAAAAAACCTAAAAAGTTTTCATTCCGGAAAATCACATTAAGAAGAAACGAAGTTCACGGGGGCAGCTAGTTCATATATAACTTTTCAATATCCTCTTCGGTTTACGCGAGTTTTAAATAAACTTTAAATAGACTTCTTACATAATTTACTTACATTTTGTGGTCTGAAAACATTTTGATGAAACTTGTATAGTTTCCTAAACTGATTTTAAACAATAAGGGCTCTGTGGGCGTATTTGGAACTAAACAGATTTATTGTTTCGGAGCGTTCAAGTATTACGTAACGCAATTTTTGGAGATTATTGACCCCCCACAAATACATACAAATAAAAATGAAATACATAAACAATCAAGCGTACCCACAAACTACTAAACAATTGGCAACTGAGTACAGCCCTGCGATTCTGTAACTCACTTTTCGAACTCACACAGCGGTTTTCGCATCGGCGGTCGCTCTCAAATCAGTCGTGAAGCAGTCATTTTATGATTTGGCATTTTGAAAAGGTGGGAGCTTATAGTTTATTGTTTATCAGAGCGCAGGGCAGTTATCTATTCCTACTGTGGATACTGTTCCTACTGCCTCGCAATTAGCTTAAAAGTGCCGTCTTTTCGTCAGCGTGGCAGTTCCAACAGCACCCTATATAGAACCTTTAAAAAGGATGATTAATGAAGACTTGTTTTGTATTAAGGGAGCGTTCAAGTATTACGTAACGTATTTTTTAGTCCTTTTGTAAAACGTGACGATGCGGGGCGGCCACATAATAGTAACTAAAGAGTCACGAAACGTTTTACTGTACGTGGGCACAGAAAAACGTTACGGCGCGTTACATGGGGGGGTCAATAATCTCCAAATATCGCGTGACGTAATACTTGAACCTATGCCAATCTAATAGGTATACGAAGAAGTGTCAAAGTTTCGAGTTGCCATCTGATCATCTATCCATCGTCGGAAGAAGGTCACATCAACATAGACGCCTGGTAAACCGTCTTCACCACAACCGATGCCCCACGATACAATACCATTTTGCACGTATCGATCATTTTGATCCTGTAATCAAATATTTTAATGTTTTATCTCTTTTGCTTATATATGAGCGACTGATAAATGCGCATATAGACAGATGGTCCATTGGTGCTCACCTCAGCCAACATTGCTTCAACTGCCACACAGACTAGTTTAGAAATAAAAAAAGTGCGTGCCAAGTACACATGTCAGAAGTGAATCTTCTTTGTAAATTAATTATTGAGTGATTAAGCTGCCCAAATCCCATAATTTAACTTTGCCAGTCTTTCTATATTAATGAATGATACTAAGGCCAATTAAAAACCAGCCCTGCGATTCTGTAACTCACTTTTCGAACTCACACAGCAGTTTTCGCATCGGCGGTCGCTCTCAAATCAGTCGTGAAGCAGTCATTTTATGATTTGGCATTCTGATAAACAATAAACTACAAGCTCCCACCTTTTCATGATGGTTAGCGTTAGGCAATCAATCTGATCGAGTACGCCATTTATTAGCCACGGTAGCAAATACCTCAAAGTTCTCTCGCCGTAGACGTTACTCGTGCGTACAGAGCCGAACTTGCGTTAACGCTCGACTCTGTACGTCATGCTCCACTCGTTTTTATGTCATCTCGAAAAAAAGTTTTTATATAAGTTGATTCTATTTAAATTTTTCGATTACTTCTTAGCTTACATCTTTTCGACTGTTTAGATCACTAGAGTAATGATAACAATTTACCGGTATCGGACAAGCTAGAGGCGCTCCACCGTCCCCTTTACAAGTATCATTATCCGATTCGGCTCCGGCGCACATGAAACTCTTATGAAGCTTAAAATGATGGCTCAGGCGAGTCCTTCGCAGTAAATATTGACAATACCTTCGGTCTACGACTGGTAGCTCAACCTGTAAGAAAAATATGTGTTTATTCCTGTGTCAAGATTCCCAGGTCTTCCATACATACCCACTATATATCATACTTTCACACTACACAACAGCCGATTTCAGTATTGCTTAGTTAAATGTATAATATTTAATATTGAAGTAAAACTTCTTTAGGCGCGACTAGGGAGTTACTCAGATTTTTTTTCTGACGGAAGTAACGTTTAGTGCTTACCTTAATCTGCGTAGTTCCCGCTATTTAAAAATAACAACGATAGCGCGTTTTAAAAGTCTGTCAGCGCCATCTAGTGGTGCATTATTTGAACTGATTTAAGTCAGTTTCTTGGTAGTTTTTATTTAGGATAGCATTCACTCGTTTTATTTTATTTGATACTGATTCTTGTAATTATGTTTTTATTAGTATATCTATATTTAAAATAAAAAAAGCATACTAGTAAGTAGTAACATGTGACCAAATTAAAATTCCACTTAAGAGGGAAGGTTTCCATCCTAGCTTGCTTTTCTTTTGTTATACATACGGCCAGTTTTTTCGCTTAATTTCGTATTTTACCATTTTGGAAGAAGTAAATTAATACCAAATTAATTATCCTAAAAATGTGGTCTATTTTATATAAAAATAATTAAGTTGTATAAGAGAATAGCAAAGTGAATAAAAAATAATTCAACAGTTTAAAAAAATAATAAACATACTTATTGTTTTATTGACTTTTTCCTTTCGTCAATGTTCTCAAAATAAACTCAAACTCAAAATAACTTTATTCACATAAGTAACCAAGTAGATTTTTGGACTACAACAGAAAGGATGTCAAATTGATTCTAAATATACATTTACTACCAGCCCTGCGATTCTGTAACTCACTTTTCGAACTCTCACAGCGGTTTTCGAGCGGTTCGCAAGTCTAGGGCGTAGCAAGAAGAACTGGCCAGAAACTCTCTGCCACTCTTTTTAATCGCCAAGTTTTGAGTCATACAAACGTGTTTGAACTGGAGCAATCCCAAGGAGATCATTTAAATAATCGTCAAATTTATAAAAAGCTTTATTGATTAATTTACGTTGAACGAAGGTTTTGAATTTATTCAGTGATGATTCTCTAATTTCGCTTGGGAGTTTGTTGTAAAAGCGAATATATAATATTAAGATGTATATTTCACCGAAGTATTTTTATTATGGAGCCATCCTAATTCATACTAACTTTTTTAAGTGCGAAATTAAAACGGTGAAAACAGAGAGGTTGGGTCCAAAAACCAAGAATCAAGCATAGAACACCAACTTGTCTGAAAAAATCAAGCTGAAGAATCGAAATCTTAGACAAATTGCAAGTGTTCTTGCGTCACATCATAGTGACACATTACTTTGTCACCTAAGTGATCGAACGAAACGATTCGGTTTCGTCTTTCGTTTACGCTGAAACTTTTTGACATATACATAATACCTCTTCTATATACCTTTTTTAGTATATTTTGATAATGCCCATTCTGGAACTTGTCCTTGCCCCAGCCGGTTGCCAAGCATCTCGTTCCTGTGGGGGTCCTTACTGTCCCCGGAGGGGGCAAACAGACAACCCCAACGTGGTCTGTCAGTATTAGGGACGACGATAGGATGAGCATAGCTATATCGTAATGCATGTTCTCTGAAAATAAATGTTTATGTTATTTATAGTTAGGGGTTTAAAAAGTTAGTCAAAAAAAAAAACAAAATCAAAAATCATTTATTCACGTAGGTAACACAATGTACACTTGTGATTCGTCATTAAAGAAACACATATTAATGCTTCTAATTTTACATTTACTGCCAGTTCTCAAATCAAGGGCGTAGAACGGAAGAGCCATGTTTTTTTTACACAACGTTTGTAAGGAGCTGCAACCATTACACCATGTTCCACATGACATCTTAAGCAATTAATAATAACAACATAAATTAAAAACAAAGACTTGTCCTCTATCAGCAGGAGGCATGGTGAAATAGGAGCACGCACTTACATTCTCGTGCAAACACGCAAACACATAGTCGAAATAATTAACATCACCGCATACACGAATTCAAGTACGACCAGTCACCACAAGCAGCACCCGTAGCACCTATAAAACCCTGGTTAGTGTACGTTCCAAACAAACAAACTGTCCATTTCGGGCCAGTAATTCCTGAAATCAGCCTTTGAGGGATTCCAGGATTTCCTTAAACAATTGGAGGTCGTATCTCACAGGGAAGACTTCCACCAGGAGTCGATTCCACAGTCTTGTGAAGCGGACTTTCAGCCATGTGATGATGCTGATATGCGTGGAAGTCGCAAAATATTGGATTTTGCCGGGAGTTATAGTATCCTTAGGGAGTGTTCAAGTTATGTAACGAATTTGGGGAGGGGGTCCTCTTGTAAAACGTTACGATGCGGGGCGGATTGAATTACGCGTTATTGTTAATATTTTTTTCGACTGTCCAGTACTCTCATCCCTGAGGTTGTAGGTTCGCTCCCCGGATTTCCTAATGGATTTTTGCGCATGAAACCAGCCTTAGTCGAAGACGTGTGTCAGGCACAGGAAGTTGATCACCTACTTGCTTATTAGATTGACAAATGATCATGAAACAGATACATAAATCTGAGGCCTAGACTTAAAAGGTTGCAGCGCCACTGATTTATTTTATTTATCTTTAGCCTCCATTGAATTTCTGCCGTAACACCATTTAGAACTAATACGAAAACTCACGCCTCTGCCTTGAATACTTCTCATGCACCACGATCTCCTTAACACCAACGGTTTGATGGGCGAACGGCTCATTGGTGGTCTTTGAGTCCCATTCACCAGCTCTGACACCCATAACACCACCCGTGATGTGGGCGGCAGTCAAGACCACTTCTGGGTGTATGATAGAACCGGCGCCCATGTAAACCATTGTAGTTTTACCATTTTTTCTGAAAACATGAATGATAAGCATGCTATATGTAGTAGGAATAAATACTCTCATCCCAAGGTCGTAGGTTCGAACCCTGGCTGCACACCCCAGCTAATAGACTTTTCTCATTTGCATCATTGCCGACTCAAGTCCACGGCGTGTGATCACCTATTTGGCTATTGGTAACAGATAGAGGAATCTGAGGCCCAGACACAAATGGTTTTAGGTGAGTGGTGCTTTTAATTATTTTTAATTGCCAATTGTTCTATGAGTATTTCCGCCATCGGTCCAGATAAAATTTCTCCAAGATTTTTTGGTATCTTACAGTTTTTTCTCAAAAACTGCGACTATCCAGGGAAATTCACCAAACTTCGCCTCGCTATTATCTACGCCCATAGTACGCATGCCGCTAGTAGGCATCTCTATCCCATTTGGATTATGCTTGCCGCAACCCACTTCTTCCTAGAAAACATAAATCTGGTATTATTCTTTATTTCTACCAAGTTAATACTCGAGACAAAATGTGTTAAGAATAATTAAGAAAAACACAAGATCAGATCAGATGTCAAGACATGACAGGGAAGAAAAGGATACATAATTAAGAAGAATAACTAAGGTAGTCTTCTTCTTATACTTACAATAAAAATAACATACTTAGAATAAAATAAATAAACTGAAATGGCAAGAGGAAGAGGAATTAAAGTGGAGCAAGAAAGTACTAAACTGGTACTTTAAACGCAAAAGAGGAAGATTTAGAAGACGGATATTAATTTGGTATTAAGGAAACAGCAGATGGTGCATAGGGAGCGTTCAAGTATTACGTAACGCAATATTTAGAGATTATTGACCCCCCCCCATGTAACTCGCCGTAACGTTTTTCAGTACCCAAGTACAGTACTGTACCCAAGGTTAGTAAAACGTTTAGTGACCACCTAGTAACTCTTTGGGTACTAATATGTGGTGTAAGTCGAAAATTATATTAACAATAACGCGTAATATAATCCCCGCCCCGCATCGTAACGTTTTACAAAAGGACCCCCCCTCCCAAAATTCGTTACGTAATACTTAACCGCTCCCATAGCAGAGAGTGGCACAATGCAAACAGTGGCGGGATTTGTATGAGGCCTTTGCTGAAAAAGGACACACAGATATTTAAAAACAAAAAGAACAGGTTGGCAGTGACGAGATATGGAATTCAGTGCTATCCTTCTGTGAGCATGTAATTCTACAGAAGGAGAGAGCAGAACGAGAGAGGTAGTGCTTTAGGACGAATCCTAGGTAGAAGACGGGGGTAAAAAGGAGAAGATATGCCCATCTCCTATCTCCTATGTGGTCTATACTGCACCGGAGGTTTTTGAGTGTAACATGCCGTTGAGGTCCCGGTAGAATGCGACAGCGACCCCGGAGCCTCTGTGCGGCTTTGTAGGAACTACTCGAGGTGATTTTAGTGGGTATAGCTCGCGGTGTGGGTCGAGTCCCACATACCCCTGCAACTTTTGAGGGCAAATGCATTTCCACATCGGATATTAAAAATAAAAAAGGTGATCAAGCCACGAGCCCAATACTGCTATAAACGTCAACAATTCAAGCAGCTCATGAAGAGAAGCACCAGAAATTGTTAATCTGATTCCTGAGTGCTATAATTTAGGTTTCATTATCCTCGGAACAGTGATCGCTCCGTGAAGCCTGTGAAGTGCCCAGGATACTTCTGTGCTTCTGGAAGGTGCTGGGCTGGCTAAATTAGCCAGGACTTTACGTACAGCGGACCAATTATGAGTCTAAGTGCGGAAAATGAGTCCACCAACCATACCATTGGGTTTAATTTTTTTTTAATTATTGTAGAGATAATATTTATATTAAAATAAAAACAGGTGTATCTTTTATAGTTAAAAGACAATACCTCATCATAGATCTCGTCTGAATCGGTGGTATTTTGAACATCCTCTTTGGTAATCGAACAGCATGTATCCAAATAAAGCTTACACTCTTGATGTACTCTGAAACAATCATATTGCAATTGAATCGATATACAAAATTTTGCTTGTATCCGCTCCTACCCTTGCCCTTCTCGCAAGTGCGATTGAACCTTGATTCCCGTTGGTCGCAAAACGCGCACTGCAAACAGTCGAACATGTCACTGCCGAAAACCCGCTAGTGCAGTATGCAAGCAGACTAAAAAATACTCTAAATCGGAAATCTAAAACGGAAGTATGTATATAGATATATTTAATATAGCTAAATAATAATATAAAAAGTATGGTATCTTTTATTAGACATATTGGCTTTGTTATTCCTATTTTATATTAAATATATTATAATGATTTTTATATACACTCATTTTAATAAATCTTTATATAAAATTCTCGTGTCACAATGTTCGTTCCCATACTCCTCCGAAACGGCTCGATCGATTCTTATGAAATTGTATATTCATATTCAGTAAATCTGAAAATCGGCTACTATCTATCTTTCAACCCCCCAAGTGATAAGGCGTGTCGACCCCAAAACAATTTTTTTATTTTTGATACAAAATTTTTTGTTTTAATTATTTTATGATACAGCATACAAAAATACATCTACCCTCTACGATCAACCCTTATTTTTTATTTATTAGTAAAGAACTTATACCTTGAACTCTGAGGTTTATATAGAGAAAAATCACAGAAAAACCTTGAAGGTTTTAATTCTGGAAAACCGAACAGTCTCTGGGGTAGCATAGCAAAATGTTCCATGTTGGTATGTACTTAAAAGGTAGACTAGGCATTAAGGAGAAACGCAGTTCGCAGCTAGTATATCTAAACTAATATTATAAAGAGGAAAGGTTTGATTTTTTGTTTGTTTGAATTGAATAGGCTCCGAAACTACTGGACCGATTTCAAAAATTCTTTCCCGAGTGACATAGGCTATGTTTCATTTCCAAAAAAATTAGGGATGCTTACTAAAACTTGAATAATCTAACGCAAGGTGTAAAAAAATAAACAAAAAACTTCCTTCAATCGCGTGCGCTGCGAAAACTATTAATGATAGAACAAAATTATGTATTACAATTTTTCAGGGCACATCACCTTCTATAAAAAATGTGACAGCATGTCTCTATCTTTTATAGTTACGTCACAATAAGCGTCCTTTTATTATTTTTTTTTTAATTAAAATACTACCGCTAGAAAAGGCTCTTTATTCGTATTACTACTATGTAATATAACATAAATCTTAGCCACAGCAACGCTTGGCCGAGTCTGCTAGTATATATATATATATATATAAAGATCTTTATCATCAAATCTGAACTGTTTTATGAAAATCGCACGTTTCCTTACTTGATACGCGGTTCAACGACGATGATTTTATTCGAGATATTTGTGGATAAATTTGTTAACTTTTTTTGTAATTTGGTTTTTTTCTTTGATTAGTCATTGTTATTTTTTGTAATGTTTGTTTTGTTTAATAATAGGTTATGATCTCTATATATGTATGTCATGTTTGCCTTTAAGTGCTTGTCACACTAAAAATTGTATTTTGTGTTTGTTTTTATCAATGTTTCAGTGTGCCGAGCGTTGGCAAGCTTTTACTCAATAAAAAAATTAACTTACTGAATATCAATAGTCTTGTTCGAAGTACCACATAAATTATACGGCATACATCTTCCTTCACCGCCATTTTTTTGTATACATCTTTCGTTGGTGTCTAAAACAGATAATATATTCATTGTCATACAACTGATTATTGCACGCCTCTGGCAGTGCTCTACTCTCGACATGTCAAAAAACCCAGTCTTTCGAAACTTGAATGACTTTTTTCTCACTAATATAACACTTACAGGATAATATGAGTGCACTAAAATCGAGTTAAATAATCTATCAAGCACATGCGGTATTTTTTATGAACAATTATTTTGTTTAACATAGTAAATAATAACATTAAAATCAACCATTCTTGGACGTCCGTCAGTCTGTGTTTATGGATCCATGTGGCAGAGAAATTGGTCGAAAAATTTATCGTACCATAATACTTTTTTTTTCCTATTATATAAAGTTATACCCTGAGCTGATTCCTAGTTAATATTAGCGTTCTAAGTACTGTCGTTTAATTATAATTTGTAAAAAACTAAAATACGACTGTGTATTTTTCTCACCTTAGAGTTATGGCGCCACTATATATTTTTTTTTTATAAAAATATATAGTGGCGTATTTTTTTTTATAAAAATATATAGTGGCGCCATATAAATTAAATAAAATAATTGTTTTTTTTCAATCATTCTTTTTAATTTTTTTTTTTTTAACTTGAGTTTTTGTTTTAGAATTTTAAATGTGAATGACCGCTATGAGGCGTGCACTTTTGGATTAACTACTAAACTATTTTTATTTTTCTTCTCTTCGCACATGCAACATCGGATTTCGAGCATACATATAAATAATTGATAACACTAACATCAAATCAGCAGTAGTGGCTTCAGCGTGCGACTCTCATACCTGAGGTCGTAGGTTCGATCAACTGTGAACCAATGGACTTTCTTTCTATGTGCGCATTTAACATTTGCTCGAACGGTGAAGGAAAACATCGTGAGGAAACCGACATGGGTCTAACCCAAAAAGTCGACAGTGTGTGTCAGGCACTGGAGGCTGATCACCTACTTGCCTATTAGATTTAAAAATGATCATGAAACAGATTCAGAATTCTGAGGCCAAGACCTAAAAGAGGTTGTATTGGTATGTTATCTAAAGCTGGCGGCTTCAACACATTTACACTGTGTGCTTGTGTAGTGTCTGTGATTAAGCGCTAGGCGTTATGTCAAACTGAATATGCATCATGAAAAGACTGTCCGTCTCTCTCGCGCTCGGTCAAGCTTATGAGTCTAAAAGAGACACTTATTGTTTTGCTTTTGCTACTGTTTATGTTGATCTTTTTTCAAACATTACCAGGGCAATCTCGTGAAATGGTGCACAATGTTTTTAATTATTTTAAGCATCTTAATAAAAACAGTTTAATGAAAAAATGTTATTTTAATTTGACATCAGATGCGACTGGGGTTTTTAAGAGGAGTATTGAAAGAATTGTTGGTGAAGTAAAAGTGAAGTGTGTTGAGCTAGATGGAGCTTATGTCGAAAAATGAAATTTTTTTACACAAAATACTCGTTTACGTTCTTGGTCGGGCTTAGAACTTTTGGATCCACCATCGTACGCACATAATATTTATTTACAACCCACCCAACCTTAACCTAAAACCAGAGTAGACTAAAATATAAAGCTTGGCAAAAAAGTCATATTTTTAAACATACTGTATAGTGAAATTGCATTAGTGTGAGTACTGTGAACGCGCCAGCTTTCGATAACCGACCTATAGCGCCACTGATTTATTTTATTTTTAACATCAAAGTTGATATTATGTTTACGTGCACCCTAATGCTCACAAGCGCCTTTTAAAATCGTTGTAGTAATTTTTTTTAATTTGTTGGACGCATCGGAATATTTTAAATCTGCATGTCCCGTCCCAATAAGGGTTGCTTAAGCTAGTAAGCAGAAAGTGTGGTTTTTTTATAGAACGGGCAGCACCTGATGTTAAGTGATGGACACACACATTGCCCGAAGGCTCGATTTACTATGATTTGCGTGTTGATTCTACGAGAATGTAAGTGCGTGCTCCTCCGTGCTCAGTGGCGCTACAAACTTGTACGAGCCTCCGATTTCTGTATCTGATTCATGATCATTTATCAATCTAATAAGTAGGTGATCAGCCTCCTGTGCCGCACACGCCGTCGACTTTTTGGGTCTAAGACATGTCGGTTTCCTCACGATGTTTTCCTTCACCGTTCGAGCGAATGTTAAATGCGCACATAGAAAGTCCATTGGTGCACAGCCGGGGATCGAACCTACGACCTCAGGGATGAGAATTGCACGCTGGATTAGGCAAACATTGCTCTCTGATATTAGTATAGTTGAACAAAAAACCTTTCACGGAATAACACAACACAAATTCACTTACTATTAATATTAAAAGACAGGGACACCTGATTTTTAAATTAATAAACCCTAAATCTTATATAATTCTAAGATGTCGTTATGCCATCGCGTTTTGGTATAACGCCATCTATTGCTCAAACAAAAAATTACTAATTAATTTAGACAGTACTTAAAATTTATTAAAAGAAATAATAACAATTGGCATACCTGGTAATGGCGGCGGTGTCCCAAACACGTTGTTTAAAATATCCTGCATGTCTTGAGCTGACACCGACAGTACTCCAAGTAACAAAAACCTAATCTGTAAAAGCAAATTATATACTTGACTTATTTCAGATGTATTTGGAATTTCTAAGACAACGTGTGTGCATAGTAAAAAGTAAAAGTAAAAAATCATTTAATCATTTAGGTAACATAATGTACACGTATGACTCGTCAGTAAAGAAATACATATTAATGCTTCTAATTTTACATTTACTGCCAGTTCTCAAATCAAAGGCGTAGAACGGAAGAGAACTGGCAATAAACTCTCCGCCACTCTTTTTAATCGCCATTTTTTTCTTACACAACGTTTGTAAGGAGCTGCAATCATTACACCATGTTCCACATGACATCTTCAGTAATTAATAATAATAACATAAATTAAAAACAAAGAGTTGTCCTCTATCAGCAGGAGGCATGGTGAAATAGGAGCACGCACTTACATTCACGTGGGAACAACACGCAAACACATAGTCGAAATAAGCAACATCATCGCATACACGAATTCAAGTACGACCAGTCACCACAAGCAGCACCCGTTCACGAGCACATATTTGGATACTACATTGACTAAATATTACGGCTACATTAAAAAAAATCCATGTGTTTTAAATATCAAAACTAATCAGTCGGTATTGACGGATTTGATAGAAACATGATTTTTCTAGAAAACTGTGTAATTCAATGTTATTATTTTTATTTTGTTTCAAAACCTTTTGTTTGCTTTTGCCAATTTTCATAATAACAGAATATTAATTAAAATAGTTATGACAAAAAATAACATGATTATATATATCATTTTGAAATGGCTGCCCCGTAAAGTTTACTGTTTGTCGGATCCGTCACTATTCTACGACTATGACGAACTTTTTGTAGTCCGGCAATAAAAACATAATATATTTTCTTATGCGTATGTAATTAATAAGCCATGATCTAATTTTATGATATTAGTTGTTGCTGCAGAATTTAAATAATATCCTCAATTGTTGACTATGTTAATCCAAGATGTACCTACAAGATATATTTTTTTAGGAGGCAAACGGGCAGGAGGCTCACCTGATGTTAATATGCCCATGGTCACTCACATTACCAGAAGGCGTAAAGTGCGTAATCCTATTAATATTATAAACGCGAAAGTTTGCAAGTATGGATGAAAGTTTCTTACTCTTTCGCATAAAAACAACTCAATGGATTTTAATGAAACTTTACAATAATGTAGCTTATACATCAGAATAACACATAAGCTACAATTTATAAAGATATTGTGTGTCCAAAATATCAAGTAAGTAGGAAAAAATCTACCATCTGCGAGCTATTCTGGCGTGCGCTGCCAAAACAAAGTTACACATGTTATGTTATGTATGATGGAAATCTTAAATAGTATCTTTAGTAGTTTTTTGTTACGCCACGCAAATATAAGTTACTCGAAATACTAATCATGCGCAGACGAACTCGCGGGCTAGTTAACAATACGATGTTGATAGCTTTCTCAACGCAAATTTATGTTCAAACTCAAACTCAAAATATCTTTATTCATGTAGGTAAACAAGTACACTTATGAATTGCCAGAAAGAAGTTAAATTAATTGTAAATTTACATTTACTACCAGTTTGCAAGTCAAGGGCGTAGAGCGGGTGTTGAATAATCTAATCGTTTAAAATAAATAATTTAAAAAAAATGTTTATTATGGAACATAAGATACAGGTATCACTTATTCCACGTCATTAAATTGTCACGGTAGACATCCCTACTGATCGGCAAAGAAGACTGAGGGTGTAGGCCGAGAGAAAAATCCGGTGTTAAACTATCGGTACTCTTTTAAAATAGCAAATCATCAAACAAAACTTATTTTAAGACAAATATCGCAAATTGATTAGAAGCAGCCTGTCTAGCACTAGTCCCAGGCCCTTTTATCAACTAGATAATCGTTAACTTTTTACACAGCTTTTCTTTAATACATTTCTTAAATTTATTATTAAAATTAAAATTAATACATACGATTAAATCCATTTTTAATTCCACAATAAAATCACACAACAATACTGATTAACGACATTAAGTATACTGATGAATTCTGCTCACTAAATGTTATCTCTACATTATTGGTCACGGCTCGCGGCTGATTCATACAACGCCAAAATTGTAAAACTATTTCGATTTTGTTTCCTTTAGAGAGACTCTTGGTACAAGTGTACAGCTAATTAAATATTTAATTGCCCCCTGGTAGATAGTACCGGTGCTTTCCTCGCTCAACAAATAAGTATCGCAATACTCTACGCCTATGACTTGCGAACTGGTAGTAAATGTAAATTGAGAATCAATTGAACATCTTTTAAGTACAAGTGTACTTACACTTATGAACGTCAACAGAAAAGATGTTGGTTATCTATATAAATAAAGTTATTTTAAGTTTCAGTTTGAGTTCGAGTCAGCGAAGAAATGCTGCCAGCGTTAAAGGTACACGTGGGACCAAACTTTTTAAATTTGTTTTTATTTTCTATTTTTTTTATTATTAATATAGGTTATGAATATCTTAATATATATAAATTACGCATCACGTTGTTTGTCCGCTATGGACTCCTAAACTACCGAACCGATATAAAGTGTGTAGTTTGATCCAACTTAAAAGATAGGATATCTTACATCTCAATTTATACCCGCAATATTATTTTATTGCAAAATATTTGTCTATAATTTGATAGTCACAATTCTAACAGATGGCGCTGTGTTGAAAGTACCAACGTTTCACATAAGCTACAATTTAATGGCATAACCACCAAAAAAGCATGGTGGTCGCCATGACTGGTGTTCTCCTACCGTTTCCCTTGAATAGCTAACTACTATTTAATATAACTAAAACCTAAGCCATAGCAACGCTTGGCCGGTCTGCTGTATATACTGTATATTTGTTTGTTGGAAATAAATAAATGTACAATATAATTTTTAATAAGTCTTGGATTGTTTTTATCTGAAACCTAAACTTCAACTAACGATTTGTGGTAAAGCCCATTGCTGGTATCAGAAAGCGGTCATGACCCCATGACCTGGGGGAGACCCAGTAAGATTTGTGGGTAACACGCTGTAATTTTAATAGTTCATTATTATATTTTATTGTATTCGAATTCTACTAATACCAATTTAAAAAAAACCTGTTGCACTCGGAGACTGCCGCGGTAAAGCTTAATTGCATAGCATTTTATCAACTTATGCAAGTATAATTATTTATTTTTTCAGTATTTATAATATTTTGATATGAATTCAATCCTACCACTCTACCAGACTCAGACTAATACGCCTATATAGTCTGTCTCACTCTAACGCGTACTGGCTGCACCGGCCGCGCTTACGCTACGTCACCGATCTCGTCAGAGAGATGTGAATACGCAGTATGCGTTCTGTCCTACTCTAACACACCTGCGCTACGTCACCGATCACGCCAGACCGATGTGAGACGCAGTATTTTTTACGCCTTGGGTAACATTATTGTAGTTTTAGTAGGGATCCTTATTTTTTTCTTGCACTTAAAATAGCCTACATTAATCAGTGGTAATGTAGCATTCAAATGGTAGAAGAATTTTTATTATCGGGTCAGTACTTTTTGAGCCAATTCTCTATAAACATACTTACATACAAATCTTTCCTCTTTATAATATTAGTATAGATATAAATAGAGTAGGCAACACTTGCAAAACTCGTACACGCTTTTTTGATTCTGATTGATATCATTTTCGGTTTCAAAACTCACCATTCGGTAGAAGGTTTATGACTTACTTGACACCACTCTTCCACCAAAACCACCATCCAAAAGCACGGCGAAAAAAGTGTTATATCGACTCCATGTGTAAATTTTCCTGGAGCAAGCTATTAAATTTCATTTTATTGTAATCTTCTTCGTCTCGTCTAGTCTTGTACTGTACTGTAATGTCCTGTGCTGTACTGCACTGCATTGTACTGTTCTGTTCTAAAATGTACTGTACTGTATTGCACTGTACTGTACTGTATGTACGGTACTGTACTGCCCTGTACTGTATTGTATAGCATAGCATGGCACTGCATGGTATTGCATAACTAAGCAACAGATAATAATCATAATGTTCCTCCGTTTAGTTACAAAATATATGTGTATTTATTAAGTTTTTACGCGTTTACTTATGTTTTTCTGTCCTAGACTCTACTGTATTGTGTACATGATATTGCATTGTATAACTAAGCAATAAATAATAATAAAATATAACAATAACAATGTAACTGCGTAATTAAAAGATATACATGTATATATTTGGATAGCTTTTCACTTTTACGCATTTATGACTTCACGGTTTCACTGATAGAAATGGGTGAGTCCCGTATGTGAAATCCAGTATAATTTTGACCTACAAAAGTCAGACATAGCGCTGAAGGAATTCAATAACGAGATACTGAATTCCTTCAGCGTTTAATACTCGTCACAATCGAACTCATCCCAATCATCACAGCTTGTACGTAAACTTGAACTCACCCCAGCTGTCAGTTCTGCCCTGCGATTCTGTAACTCACTTTTCGAACTCACACAGCGGTTTTCGCATCGGCGGTCGCTCTCAAATCAGTCGTGAAGCAGTCATTTTATGATTTGGCATTCTGATAAACAATAAACTACAAGCTTTCACCTTTTCAGACTAATACGCCTATATAGTCTGTCTCACTCACGAACTCACACAGCGGTTTTCGCATCGGCGGTCGCTCTCAAATCAGTCGTGAAGCAGTCATTTTATGATTTGGCATTCTGAAAAGGTGAAAACTTGTAGTTTATTGTTTATCAGAATGCCAAATCATAAAATGACTGCTTCACGACTGATTTGAGAGCGACCGCCGATGCGAAAACCGCTGTGTGAGTTCGAAAAGTGAGTTACAGAATCGCAGGGCAGCTGTTTTATTGGAATCGTTATAATCGTGAGTACGCAAAGTCGATGCAATTACGAAATACAAGCGCTAGCTTCCAGCCCTAATAATTAATAACAATCCAACGTGTTAGGGGGATAACATCCATAACCTTTTTAGTTCTGGGCCTCAGATTTCTGTATCTGTTTCATGATCATTTGACAATCTAATAGGCCAGTAGGTCCGTCCTGTGCCTGACACACGCCGTCGACTTTTTGGGTCTAAGGCGGTTTCCTCGCGATGTTTTCCTTCATCGTTCAAGCGAATGTTAAATGCGCACATAGAAAGAAAGTGCATTGATGTTTTAACCGGGGATCGAACCTGAAACCTCAGGGATGGGAGTCTAGGCCAACACTGCTTCTATGTACTGTCTTTACCGCGCATATTCAGTTTTTCTTTTATTTATATAATAATTTTCCAATTTTGCTCTCGTACGCAATTTAATAGGTGCTAATTATTTTATTTCCAGATAAAAACAAAGTCCCAGTCACCATCAAGGATATCAATTTAATATGGGTTTATTTAAGTAATGATTAATATTTATTTTACCCTAATAAGTTTTGTTTTAAATTGGTAACCTATTTTAAGATATCGGCAGTGGTTTTCCCAATGACGCATCGTGAATTACAACGCACTTAGATTAGTTTTAAATAATTAATTAATTTAAGTCACAGAACGAACATTACATACAACGCTTTTTTTTCAACATTTTTTTTCCTTCAGAGACCCTTTCATCGAAAACCACTTTCTTAAAAACAAATTTTCATTATCTACAAACTCCTAAGCGAAATTAGAGAATAATCGCTGAATAAATTCAAAACTCTCGTTAAACGTAAATAAATCATTAAAGCTTTTTATAAATTTGACGATTATTTAAATGATACTAATCCTTGGGGTTGATTTGCTCCAGTTCAAACAATTTGTATGACTCAAAACTTAGCAATTAAAAAAGAGTGGCAGAGTTTCTTCCCAGCTCTACGCCCTTGACTTGCGAACTGGTAGTAAATGTAAATTTAGAATCAATTTAACTTCTTTTCTGACATTCTTAACTGTATTTGTTTACCTATATGAATAAAGTTATTTTCAGGTTGGTGGAAATAATTATGTAAAGTTTCCACGTCCTCCATTTCACATACACCGTGTGTGTGAAACTGACACACACGGTGACTGGAGACTGGTTACCAACGACATAGGAAATCCTTTCGGGCTTTGCTGCACTTTATCTTTTAACTAAAAATCCTTTTTATATTTTTTTTATATGTATCATAAAGATTTTTCATTCTTTTCTATAAATATATTCTAATTTTATCAAGAGAAAAGTCTTTTGTTAATTGTTTTATAGACAACATGGAAAAGTTGTGAAAATTTATTAAAAATTACCATAAATAACTCTATTATGAATTAGGCTTGAACGTGCTCTAATCTCTGAGGTCGTAGGTTCGATCCCTGTGCACCAATGGACTTTCTATGTGCGCATTTAACATTCGCTTGAAGGGTGAAGGAATACATCGTTAGAAAACATTGCCTTGGACCCAAAAAGTCGATGGCGTGTGCCAGGCACAGTAGGCTGATTAGATTGACAAATGATCATGAAACAGATACAAATATCTGAGGCCCAGACCTAAAAAAGGTTAGCACCATTGGTGTTTTTAATTTTTTATATAATATCACAATATTTACTTATTAACGTGGGTAAAGCAGGGCACAGCTAAAATAATAACAAAACAATATTGATTTAATTTCTAATTACTATTACAGGTAAGACAAATTAATATCTAATACATATTTTTATTTTGAACTATATACGTCACGGTAGCCATTGGCGGTCCTAGCAATAATTCCAAATTCAAATTGTCAATATTGAAATCTTTTTTATTTTTTATTTCAACCTTGGTGTTGCCAGTTGATAATACTTTTTTATTTTTATTCAATATAGTGTCTTTGCTTCTGTGTAGATCTTTTTCCTTGATCTTTGTAGGCGATTTGCGTGATTTTGTTAAATCGAATTTCGGCTTCGTCCATTCTGTCCTAGTAAATCTAGATAGACGCGGTGACTCTTCATTGATGACTGGAAATAAGTATTGTATGTGAAGTACTAGATGAAGGAAATGTTGTAAACAATTTTGGCTTGTAAAAAAAACAAGTAAAAGTATAAAAACATGGTTTTAAAGGTTTTATTGAGTAAAAGATTTTGTAAGTAACCATTAATTTGTCAAATCGATAGTTAAAAGTATTATTATATCACGTGACAGGTCACAGATTAGTTCAATGGATGATAACGTACCATGCCAGTAAATAATATTCTCCGTTAGTCGAATCCAAATACTTTTTTGGAGTGTAATTTCGTCGAACGATTTAAAAAAAAGTGCGTATAAGTACACCTGTCAGAAGTGAAACTTCTTTGTAAATTAATTATTACAAAGGTAAAAGCCCCAATAGATGATCATGTACCAGTATACCACTCCATGTATTTGTATATCTATATTCACACTGTTTACACACTGTATACGTGGTAATTATAATATAAATTAATTAAAAATCTGCGTTTTCTAAACAAGAAGTTATGCGACAGAAATACCATCTAAAGTTCTAATATGTAACTACTAAACGAATACATCAACCAATAGCGTGTATTTTTTCTCGATCTCTCACTATAGCTCTCTCCCAACAAAATCACTAATAAATAAACTGAAATGGTTTATAAATCTTGCGCCTATTGTAACTCTATAATTACTTAATACTAATACGATAGGATTGTATTTTCAGTAAATACCTCCAAGGAGTTTGAATGTGTAGTGTTTGGCATACACTGAAATGCTCTTACATGTTAGTAGTGACTCAGTTTTCGTACTAAAGCTGGGTATCGATTACGCGCTCCTGGCGCGCGCGCCATGAATGACCGCACCGAGAGTGCGTTCCGTGAAACGCGTTCCAAATATTTGAAGTATATCAACTAAGCGCGCCTGGCGCGCGTGGCAACTGTTCCAGTGTTCGACCCTTCATCATGGAAGCCAGTCAGCAGCAGCTTTTGTAATTATTCACAGTATTATAAACAAGAAAAGCCAGAGCCAGTGATTTGGCTTTTAGATACTCTCAATTTTTCTCTTCTGTACGATGATAAGAGCACAGTCATTTTTTTCTTTAATTCCGGCATAGGGACTCCCATTTCACTACTGATTTCTCTCCAAGCATCTTCTCTAAACGATTTATTATGATACGAAGAACTTTTGCTATTCCACAGTAGTTCTTTTGTACCATACAGTTGTATTAATTTACGGCAACTTTGGTTATCCATAATTGGGAGCGCAACAAACACAAAAAAATACGATATATCCATCCTAACTGGCGCGCGCGCCACGATTGATGCGTGGTAAAAAACCGACACCCGTCGGAACGGACCGCTCCGCGTTCGGGCGCTCCAACGAACACATTGGCGCGCGTTCCAAAGTGATATCCATTGCGCGCGCCAATGTTCGCCCTCTTGGAGCGCGTAGTCGATACGCGGCTTTAGACGCCCATTTTGTCCGTTGTGCGTTAAGCCAGCTTAGTTCCTTACAGAAGCTGCTAACAAAGTTATACCAACCTCGGATATACAACTTCTGGGCCTCATTAATCGGGCGGGCCAGCCAGTGGATACACTAGTCGAGGATCCTCCGAGGTCGGAGAAAGAGTAGCACCGTTCTCTATGATTAAGGTCGCCATAGACGGCCGCATGTTGCAGCCGAGACCGACTGCTTGGATCAGTTGTGTTCGACAGCAAAATAATACTGATGCGAGTTCATTTGCAAGATGGAATTGGATGAAGAAACACTGCTTCTTGTACTACTATTACGCAAGCGTAGACGTAGAAGACATCGAGTATGTGGGTGCGTCCAATACTACTATCAAGAGAACAACATGTATAATATTGTCTTTTATTGACATAACTTTAGACATTTAATAATAAAACAATTAATAATAAAGCACGCGAAACGTCGGTTAAATTTAAAATTATGAAATATAATAGTAAATACATAATTTCAATCCGGTAAAAAATTGTTTTATTATTAAGCATAGTATATTTCATACTATACTTTGTATCCCCATCTGAGAGAAGACACTAAAAAGTTTTTCAACTACTTTAGGATGTCCGTTTCATTTGATGAATTAGTATTTTAAGCCATAAAATACAACGGACAGATTATTATAAAAACTGCAGATCGCCGTGCGGCGACCGCTCTAGAGCAGTCGGTGTCAGCTGCAACATGCGGTCCGTCTATGGCCAGCGTAAGGATATACAATACTTTGCAATTTTATGTAACTAGGTACTTCTAAGATCTTATTGAAGTGAAACTTCTTTATCGAGGTTGGAAAAAAATTTAGTGTAACATTTTTTCGTTACGCGTCACATTTTTCGGTTACGCGCCATGTTGCTTTTTGAAGTCAAACTTCTTTATCGATGTATGGGAGAAATTTTGTAGCAAATCGTCACGTTTTTCAATGATAGTAATAATTCTATTACAATTAATGAAATTCTATAATAATCTTCGTAGTAATAAGGTAAAATGAAATATTTGTATTCATGTCTATGATAATAAAAGCCTTTTGTTAAACTTTATCTAATTTAACGAATTTCTGTAAAGTTGCATATAGTAGATCATTTTTCGAAAAAGATCATAAAGAAGTTTCACTTCTTACGTGTGTACACCTAGTACACGCACAATTTATTTTTTTATTGTATTATATTTAAAAAATCCGTCCTATTTCGCTATATACGTTTCTTATTCTGTTAGTCGCTTAAGCAACTGAATTGTAATACGACAAATTCAAACACGAACATTAAATTTATTAGCAATAATTTATTGTCAATTTCAACAAGTTTTATATAATTACAAAAATTTTGACGCATTGAAATCTTTTTAAAACGGAGATTTTTAATATTTACGTAAAAAACAGCGCACCTGCAAATGTATGTTAACAAACGTATTTAAAAGTTCGGATTGAAATAAAAATTGAGTAAAAGATGTATCATATAAAACTTCTATGGATCCTTGCAATTGACGACTGGATGTTCAAACAATTCGGAGAGAGAAAACTTCTTCTTCGGAAACGTTACACATGGTTTGTCTTTAAACGCTGGATCAAAAGGGGGGGATGGAAGCAATTTGCAGCCGTCTTTAGGACAAACGAAAGGCCGCCTCTTTTCCTTTTTCGGTATAGGCCATGATGGTATAGGTATCCACGGCTCGTAATCTCTAGCGAGGATTATTTCCTTCACAGCTTTGGTGTCTTCGTTCAGTATAGGAGTGTTTAGAGCACGAATTTGCAATGTGCTGGTTGATAGAACTTGTGAGCTATACTGGCGATATTGGAAGTTAACATTTCGGAAGTCAGGTAGGATATAAATACGAAACAGAGATATTGTGTCGTAAATTGTGGAACTTAAAAACTTTGCGCAAGGATCTTTCGGTTTGCAAGGACAAGGACAAGGGCATGGCTCCTCTTTTTTTTTGGGCGCGCAAGGGTCTTCCTTTTTTGCGCAAGGGTCCTCTTTGGCGGCACATGGGTCTTTCTTTTCTGGAGGACATTTGGGTGGTGGCGGACATGGCGACTTATCTGGTGGTTTGCATGGGTTTGGTCCAAGAGTATTGGGTTTGCTGCATGCATCTGTCATAGTCATGTTGGTAAGTCGATTGTAATATTCCCGACACAATTCCAGGCGATGTCGTTCTCTGATCCTACGTAATAGCTCTTTCAGTGTTACTGTTTCTTTTTCAACCATATTGGGTATGGGTCCAGTCGCACTTAAATTGTGGTCAAGATTACAATTGGCTGCCTCAGTATGGTGGACCCCTTTTTTATCCTTTAGTAACCCCTCATAATCGGGTTTTAATCTCACATTTAGTACTGGTGAGTTTTCTGTAATAGGTATTTTTTCAGTCACTTCGATATGTGATACAGTTCTTTCTAGGTTTGAGTACTTTTGCGTTTTAGGTATTTCAGGACCACAAGATGCTGATTCATTATGTTCTTGTACGTAAGAAACTGTATTCTGTTCGACTGAGCTATCACCAGTTTCCCTAAAATGTACCGATGGCTCTACAAATGATTGCTCATTTTCTTTCATATTATAAATTGGTATTTTTATTTCAATTATTGGTTTCTTATATGTGCCTTCTATATACGAAACTATAGTTTTTCTTGCAAATATTGGCTCTTTTAAGTCTTCTGCAGTGGACGCGTTGTCTGCAAAAGCTTTAGCTTGCACATTCAATAAATAGTCTGGTTGTTCTTGAACACTGGTAATTCTGTTTATATTGTCAGAATCATTTGGATCTTGGTGATCTGAAATTGACGTCTTTGTGCTTGGTGGCTTTTCTTCTTTAGTTTTGGCTGAAATTGAGGTACTTTGTTTCACAATCTTATCTGGTTGTCGATGTAACGTGCCCGGCCCCTCGCCTGGTGGCCCTGAAGTGGGTTGGGTGTAAAGAATATCAAATTCTTTTTCTGCCATATTTGTAATAGGTGGAGTTTCATATGAAGTAGATTCACCAGGTATTGCCAAGCCTGCCATAGCACCCCCTACTTTTTCTCTTACATTCTGCTCATCACTTTCTATATCCATTTCATTGGGTGGTATCAAATTGTTATTACCAACGTCATCGACTCCTGTTGTTACTGTCATAGACTCCTCTTCAGCTGGATTTTCAAGCAAGATTTCTTCGATTGCGTAGTCATAAAATGGAAATGACTGACTTGCATATGGATTTAATATGACAGGGGTTAACTGAGTGTCTTCGAGTGCATCAAATCTATCGCCTTCGCTACAGTCTACATTTTCGCATAACGAAATCGAATCAAAAATTAGAGGCTGAATTAATTCTGGTTTAATTGATCTATCTATCTCTAAATCGCTTAAGCAGTTAACTTTTTGGGGTTCATTTGTTTTTGGTGTTTCATTGGTATAGCGGACCACTTGTGGTTTGCCATATAAAACTTCGCTGTAATAACTTTGCTTAGGTTTTTGTGGGTAAAAATCTATGTTATCTGCAATATGATCAATCCCTAATTCTCTTAAAAGGTGTTCATCTACCTTCTTAGGTGGTGTTTGTAGACATTTATTCGCAATACCATCAAATCTGGTATCATAATTACTTGGTTCAGACTCATAATATAAGTTGGTTGTGTCCGATTCTTTTTGTTCTTTAAATGTTATAGGAATACCGTCTTCTACTTCTTTTATATGTTCAATTTTCTGTTCTGGTCCTTCTTTATCAGTGGGAGTTGCATATAGTGGGTCTCCTGGTGGAAAAATCTTGCTAATAACGCGTTCACATCTTTCTCGATCTTCTGCGAGGTTGTTTTCAGTCGATTTTTGTACATTATCTTCGGGTTTTTTATCGCTGCCGTGAAAGTCATTGTTTCCCGTTGCTCCAGAAATTGAACTTGTGCTTTTTGTCGCTTGGGACGTGATCATAGAATCTGAAAAATAGCGAAATTATAATTACAACTACTTTTATCGATATATTGTAAAAATAGATAGAAAACAGTAAGTTTTCGCTATTTTTCACATTCGATCGATAACGCAATTCTATACCCGTACGTAAGTATAGATTTTGTAAAAAATCAATACTTTTCTCTAAATTAATTCTGGTAAAAAGAATTGAGGTACAGATTTTAAAGCTTTGTTTAAAAGTTTCAGTAGAAACTTTTAAACAAAGGACTATTTAATGGCTTTTGTCTGGATGGAACGCGGAAGAAACAAGCTACTAATATATGAGTGTTCAAGTCTTACGTTTTGTAAATTTCTTCTGAGCTGCATATTTCACGTCCCCTTGCAAAATTCGAGGGATAAAGGCAATGCTGCAAACCCTTTTGATTTTTGAAAACGTTGTTCTCAACATTTTTATTCATTTAAATTACTGTTATTTTTAATTCATAATACTTTTTATACTATAATTTATTCACATTTTGGTAAAAAGAGCGAAAGTAATTTTTGGTAGTGAAGAGAATAGTTTTATAAAAATTAAATAAAAAACGTTCTTTTGTTTCCTGAAAGAAGAATGTTGTAAAGTTTTCAGCCAGTTATCTACATGTTTTTTTTAAAAAGGATCTTATGCCCTGCGTAATAGAATATTATGAAATCGTAAAATAATAAAACTGTGGAATTTAAAACGTGTAATCGTTACTATTACGCTTTTGTATTTAAAATAATATTATAATTGTAAATATATAATTTCAATCCGGTTAAAATTGTTTTATTAAATGTGTAAAAGTTATGTCAATAAAAGACAATACTAGAATAATATATAAAAGTCATGAATCGAAACGTATCACGAAATGGGTTCGAAAATGTATAAATGTCACATTTCACAATTTACAAATCAAATGCGTGAGAATAACAAAGATGGCTGAAGAGCAAGTAAGTATCAAAATATTAGATTTTTTAATGAAAACTGCCAAGATTTTTACTTAAAAACTTCAATTTACACAAGCTAAAAATAATAAACCTACACTTGTTTAATATTTTCACCTAAATGTACGTATATTGTATTCAATTTACACGTTGTTTTTGGTGTCGGAAGTGGTTTTTAAAATTATAAGGCGACTGTTTTCCTTTTATTTGTGTTTAAATCTATTTAAAATATGTATGTTAATAGCTTATTATCACTTGTTTTTACTTTCAACTGTATTGTTTGCCGGTGTTTTGTGGTTATTGCTTATTTTGATTTATGACATTAACATTGTGGGAGAGGCGATATTTTCCTATTCCGACAATAATACAATTATAAATCACAGGAATAATTTACTTCCCAATTCACAATGACGAGGTTGAAAAGTTTCTTGTTCAGTTATCCAATACATTAGGAGAGAAATTAAAAAAGCAAAGGAAGAAAAATTAATATTTATAAGATGATAACTAAATTCAACTGCAAGAAACAATATTTCAGACTTTTATCTTTAGGTCTCTCCGCATATTATATTCTATTTTAACAATCATTTAGTGTGAAGGTTAACTTAAGTTTTAGTAAAGATATTTCTTGTGATTCCGATCATATTTTCTTTGGAAGGTTTGTTAATCATTGTGGCCCTTACACTGATCACACATCTGACCACACAGCATGTGTGACCAAAAGAGAGCAGTGTAATAAAATTAATATTCTTTTTTTTAAATTCACCATTGGGCCAGCCATTGTTAATATTAAAGATAATATTATTCCCTAATATAAGTTACAAAAAGATAAACCACTACTGTTTGTCATTCTATTAGAATCTTTGACCCTAAAGTATGTACGATTTGGCAGTATTTTCATATTTCTATTTAAATAATGTAGATTTGAACTTATTACATAATCTACATATAAATTATGAGATATTTTCATCTATTAAAATTATCAAACCCAAGTTGAAATGTTTTTTATATCTTCTATGGTTATGTCTAAGTCTGAAATTGATTATGCCTTCAAGGTTAATCTATTAAGAGTGATGAAAGGAAGGTATCTGTAATTAAAGGAAACTGGCTTGATAGATTGCAAGGGGACTAGTCTAGTTCGATAAAGCAATTTTCTAATATATGAGCAAGCTTTGTGAGTTGACAGTCTTAGGAGATCTTAGGCGATTAATAAATGATGGCAAAAACTATCGCTTTAGCCTAATTTGTGACATTTAGGTGAAAAATATAATTCCCAATAAGTTTTTCTGATTAAAAAGCTAACATATTTTATATGTAAAAAAAATCATAATTATTTAATAGTAATTTATTCTTTATTATTTAATATAGAATGTTTTCTTTGAAAAATTAATAAACATAGAACAACAACAAACAACATACAACAGTAATTCCGTTGATTGTATGGCATAGTCAAAATGGCTTCCACCGGCCACTTTATAGGAGTTTGTGTGGGCTATAAAAAATTTACCAAGCAGCTTCTGTTAATGTGGCGATCATACTATTTTAGTAGCATAATTATAAATATTAGTTCCCAAGTAATTGTAGTATATATAGAATTGTATATTTTTTTGTTATATTTCTTAATTATCACATACAATGTTTTGGGACACAAAATAAACATATATTAAAATTATATTTATGACATATACTTTGGTTTTTTTTCAGGAGGTGATTCAAATAGAGCTTTTGTGCAAACAGCTCTATGAGTCACAAGATCCAATTGTCCGTGAGCAGGCAGAGAAGGCCGTTGTCGCGTTTCAGGTATATTTTTTTTAATAAGTGTGTAATAATTATTGTGAACATAATTCATACTGTAAGATGTTATGATAACTACATTACATTTAGACTAAACTTTTAAAAGACGGCTCATTGGTCTAGTGGTTAGTACCCCTGAGTGCGAATCCATGGGTCCCGGGTTCGATTCCAGCTGAGACAAACATCGATGTGATGAGCATTTGGTGTTGTGCTTAGGTCTTGGGTGTTTAAATATGTATTTATATTTGTTAGGTCTATCTATCTATAATATGTATGTATATCCGTTGCCTAGTACCCATAACACAAGCTTCACCAGCTTAGCATGGCACTAGGTCAATTGGTATGAATTGTCCAATCATAAAAAAAAATATAAAAAATATGATCTTGTATCTATTGCTTAGTGGATGAATCAGATCAGATTTTTAGTAAGTACTAGTGGTCCCAACAGTCTACACATGTCTTAGATACAAAAATATCAATTTCTCAGGTTCATTCCAGCCGGTTTAATTACAAACAGAGATTTATATAACCTAGAAAACAAAAAACATCAAGTGTTCTGAAGCTAGAAACATGAAATGATTTTTTACTTTCTTTTTATTACATAATATACATGTTTAAACCTCTGAATTTCCAGTAATATTTCAGTATCATAATTATCCAATCTGTCCCGCTAATTGGTTTTAGCAAGACAAATGAATAGCAATTTATTTTTATATATAAAGATTACTCCCATTTGTCAAATTGTATTGGATTGATAATGGAATTCATACTTTGCTTGGTCTTGAGTCTCAACCCCTTATGTAGTCAAGAAATGTAATTTTTTATTAATTTTTACAGTTATTTAAACATACTAGCTGCCCCTGCGAACTTTGTATCACCTAAGTAAGATTGTTTTACTTACGCCCGAACCCAATAACCTATCTCAATCCATAAGCCATGTATATTACACATACACATGTATATTACACATACACATGTATATTACACATACACATGTATATTACACATACACATGTATATTACACATACACATGTATATTACACATACACATGTATATTACACATACACATGTATATTACACATACACAAGTATATTACACATAAACATGTATATTACACATACACATGTATATTACACATACACATGTATATTACACATACACATGTATATTACACATACACATGTATATTACACATACACATGTATATTTTAATGTTATTTGTACGGTTTTGTTTACTTTATTTGGTTAACATTGATTATCAAATATGAGTGAAAACTCGGTAAAATGGAACGACAAAGAGCATTTTATCCGTCGCCTCAAATGGATTGTTTTCATAGAGTTTGGTTATTGAGATGCAGATAGGAGATCGATCGACTGCCACGGTCTGATCTCAGATTGAAAAAATGTGGGTTGATTATTGGGTTCTGGCGTTAGCCTACAGACAAGGAACATTTTGCTATACTACCCCGTAGAGACTGTTTCGAAGCTTAATTTTTTTTTAGATTTTACATAAATACAGATACAAAGATTAATAATTTGTAATACTAAAAAATGTAATTATTTTATTTTATCTCACACACTGTTTTAATGTGTTTTTTTTTATATTGTTGTTATTACTCTTTAATGTATAATATTCTACGGTTTCTACGGCTTCTGAGGAGGAAACTACTAACTTTTTTAGTATAGTAGTTTTATTCTAGGAGTACATTGTCTTCACGTATAATTATTTAACAAATGTAACAAAATATTGTAAACCTATTTTAAAAGAGTAAGTGTGGAGTTTCTTGCCCATTCTTCTCCACACGAAACTACCTTTTGGAAGGGGCAACTAGAATCTTCTTTATATTTTATTTGACGTTCAAAGGTCATTATAGGTGATCTTATTGAAATAAATGAGATTTGACTTTGAAAGGAATAATTTAAAAAAATACTTGAATTGCACCAGATGTTTTTGAGTTTAGCAACATATTTAGTGATTTATTTATACAGATATTTTAAGTGATGAATTTGAACTTATTTTTTTGGTGATTGGTTTGGTTAGTTTTTAATGGTGATAAACATGAATTATATCTTATCAATATAGCTTTTATTCAAAATTAAATTTTGAATTTTCAGGAGTCCCCAGATACGCTAAGCAAATGTCAGGCGTTGCTTGAGCGGGCTGATTCTAGTTATTCACAACTCTTGGCAGCTACTACTCTAGGGAAACTAATTAATAGGTGAGTTGGTAAGGGAGCGTTCAAGTATTACGTACGCAATTTTTGGAGATTATTGACCCCCCCCCCCATGTAACGCGCCGTATCGTTTTTCTGTACCCAAGTATAGTAAAACGTTTTGTGACCACCCCGTGACTCTTTATACCTAAAAGTTACAATTATGTGGTGTTAAGTACTGGAAAGTCGAAAATAATATTAACAAGAACGCGTAATTCAATTCCCGTAATTTATTAAAAATTGGTTACATAATACTTGAACGCGCCCCAATGAATATCCTTGAACTAGTCCAGAGGTCTGACTCAGAATATACTGGTTAGAAAGAAATTACTTCCACTACTACTTGTGGTGACTGGTCGAACTTGAATTCGTGTATGCGTAAATGCTATGTCCATGTCTATTACTGTTTACTAAAATAAAATAAATCAGTGGCGTTACAAACTTTTTAGGTCTGGGCCTCAGATTTCTGTATCTGTTTCATGATCATTTGTCGATCTAATGAGTAGGTGATCAGCCTCCTGTGCCTGACACATGCCGTCGACTTTTTGGGTCTAAGGCAAGATTTTCTCACGATGTTTTCCTTCGTACGAGCGAATGTTAAATGCGCACATGTGTCAATTGGTGCACAGCCAGGGATCAAACCTAGGACCTCACGGATGAGACTCGCACGCTGAAGCCACTAGGTTCACACCTCCTTCGATATCTCCTCCTCCAAGGAACGCCATTTTTACACGCTTTATATTAGCTTCACCTGTATGTATGTATGTATGTAACCGACTCCTTCGGACTCGATTTTGACCCACTTTTAACGGACAGATTTAATTCTCACTTTGCGCACTTGTCAAAGATAGATGACAATGCAATAATCCGAAAAAAATATGAAAAAAAAAAAAAAAAATTTACCAAAAAAATTAATAATAGTTAAAAAAAACTAAAAAACACGCTTTTAATGCACATCAAACTAAAAAGTGAAAGATAATTCCTAATTTAGGCTGAAAATGGTAATGAACAAAAAATACTAGTATTATTGTGAAAAAGCGTGGGTAGCTCGATGTATTTTTTTAGTTTGATGTGCTTTAAAAGCGTGTTTTTTAGTTTTTTTAAACTATTATTTATTTATTTATTTTTTTAAATTTTAGTTTTTTTTAACTATTATTTATTTTTTAGTTTTTTTAAACTATTATTTATTTTTTATTTTTTAGTTTTTTAAAACTATTATTTATTCTTTTAGACAAGACATCTGGATCTGGAATTAACCATAAATTATTATTTCAGATCCACAAGCAGTTTATCCATACAACAAAGGCTAGATATAAGGAATTATATATTAAATTATTTGGCTACGCGACCGAAGTTGGCGAATTTCGTTGTACAGGTAAATTAAATATGGTAATAGATGTCTATAGTATTGTCTTTGATTGACATAACCTTTACACATTTAAAGAAAAAACTTTTTACCGGATTGAAGTTATGTATTATTATAAATTTACAATTATTTAACATAAGTTTAAATTTATCCGACTTTTCGCGTGCTTTACAGCGTGCGTGGTCACGGTGATACGGTAGTCGATACCAACTCCAGGGAAATAAATACAGATAATGCAACTTTCTCTACAGCTGTGATACTTTTTGACATTCAACACCTTTTGTCTTCAGTCACCGTGACCACGCACGCTGTAAAGCACGCGAAACGTCGGATAAATTTAAAATTAGGTATGTTAAATAATTGTAAATTTATAATAATACATAACTTTAATCCGGTAAAAAGTTTTTTCTTTAAATAGATGTCTAGTTTTTAAAGGAAAACTTCTTATCGACGTTGGAAAAATATGTAACGTCACATTTTTTGGTTACGCGCCATCTTTTTCTTGTCCCTACCACGGTTGATCCGAAGAGATTCGAAGCCATTAATAACAAAAATATATAATCTTAGTAGTAATAAGGTAAAATTAAATAATTGTATTTGTTGAATGTCTATGATAATAAAAGCCTTTTGTTAAACATTATCTAATTTAACTTTATTTAACCAATTTCTGTAAAGTTGCATATAGTAGATAATTTTTCGAAAAATAAGATCATAAAGAAGTTTCACTTCTTACGTGTGTGCACTAAGGGAGCGTTCATGTACTACGTAACGTATTTTGGTCCTTTTGTAAAACGTTACGATGCGGGACAGGGATTGAATTACGCGTTATTGTTAATATTATTTTCGACTTACACCACATAATAGTAACTAAAGAGTCACTAGGTGGTCACGAAACGTTTTACTAGACTGAAAAACGTTACGGCGAGTCCATGGGGGGGGTTTAGGTTAGGGGTTGTGTCAATAATCTCCAAAAATTGCGTTACGTAATACTTGAACGCTCCCTAATACACGCACTCATTTTTTTTTTAATTTGGGGCCTTTCAAGTATTACGTAAGCAGATTTACTGCATTATTTCCCCCCTTCCTCTTGTCAGCAAAAGTAAGCAAAGCTCTCAAAAATAATAGAACATAACCGTGTTAATTTTTCAAGACTTTCGTTTTCAAGAATAGACAATGTGTGGGTAATATGTGTAAAAAAGTAAAAATTCTGTCAAATTAAACCCCAAGGTTAAACTGATGTTCTGATTAAATTTTTTCAGGCTCTCATATCACTGTTCGCACGGATCACCAAATTGGGATGGTTCGACACTGTGAAGGAAGAACACGTGTTCCACAATGTTCTTAGTGATGCTACTACCGGTTTCTTACAGGTAAATAAAAGTCTATAGTCAAAATCATTTATTCATATAGGTAACACAATGTACACTTAAACATAAAAAATATATATATAATTTTACATTTACTGCCAGTTCTCAAATCAAGGGCGTAGAACGGAAGAGAAGAACTGGCAATAAACTCTCAGCCACTCTTTTTAATCGCCTAGTTTTTTGTTTTACACAACGTTTGTAAGGAGCTGCAACCATTACACCATGTTCCACATGACATCTTAAGTAATAAATAATAATAAAATAAATTAAAAACAAAGACTTGTCCTCTATCAGCAGGAGGCATAGTGAAATAGAAAATAAGGCTCTGTGTAATTTAAGTTTTTAAATTTATATTAATTAATTAAATTAAATTCCAGGGTCCAGTTGAGACATGTACAATCTTTGTGCAATTGCTCTCACAGTTAGTTGTCGAAATGAATCAAGTATGTGAAGCTGATGCCAACCGTTCTCTCTCGAAGCACAGGAAGATAGCATCATCTTTCAGGTAAGCATTGACAGAAAGAGAAGTCTATACTTTGATTTTTAATCCCTTAGAATTCTGACAGTTATCATTTTTTTTGTTGATTACAGCCTTTTTGGCCGGGCACATTTTTCAATTTCAATACGAGTCTGAACATCTGAGTTAAGTTAAGTCCATTTTATTAAGTGAGGTGCTCCACATTAAAAGTGGCTTAACGGCGAGTGGTAATTACGTTCCTTTTCATCACAAACAGTAAAAAACGCACAAGTAAAGAATTTTTTTTTAAAGGTTTACTAAGACTTTGATTAGTAGGCAGTGATGTCAGCTAAAGAATAAAATAAAGTAGGGATATGACATTCTGCATAAAAAATCTATGTTTCTTAAAAAAATAATCGATTTTTTTATTAATCGATTTTTTCCTAATTTTTTGAATTAATTTAAAAATAAACACCCTAAATATTTTATTTTTCATGGTTTTTTTTAATTAAAAATAAACAATAGAAATTATAAACACAAATTAACGTTTAAGAATAATCAAAATCGAAATTAACTTAATCTCGTTTTGATAGATTTAGATAAATGCTGGGTGTATACCTTTTCAGTAGCACATTGCAGTATTTTTGTTGTCTTTTTAATTGTAAGTAATCTTGTGCTGCTGAATAAATTTATTTTACTTTTAAATTATAGTGTTCCATTCAAACTTGAGTTTTTGTAAAATTAACTGGTTTTATCATCCCTTCGATGTTTTATAAAAATACATCTTCAAAGAATCGGATTCAATGTATCGCATTGTAAATAAACATCGTTGTATATCGAATATCCCTAATAGTTCGAGGTCGCGGTTATAAAAGACCAGACTTAATGTCGGGAGGTGGCAGATGAAAAATCGACTATGATTGATTTTCAATTATAAAAATAATCGATTATTAATCGATTATTTCAAATATAAAAATCGCGTAAAACAATCGATTCTTTTTTCACATCCCTAAAATAAAGTAATTTAAGTTATTTCGATATATTGTTCGTGATATTGAAATATTAGTTATTTTTGTATTAGGTAACTTGAGTAAGAAAATATTGAAATTTCTAAAAAAAACTATAATAAAAAACTATATTTAACTAGATAATGCGTTATAATAAAATTTTCAATGTATTAAATACATTCTTTCTATAGTGAGTGTCATTTTTTCTACAAACTTTTTCTTTCTTTTTAAATCTTTAAAAAAAATGGTATACATTCTTTTTAAAGATTTAAATTTTTACGCCAAAGAAGTATAAGTCTTTGGTCTTTTTTGGTGATTACGTTAACAGTAATTATTTACCTTTTTATACACATTTACTTACAAATTCTCTATGCTTGGAAACGAAATGCATTTGAGGGGGGATTGCAGTAAATCTACTTACGTGATATTGTAACAAAATTATATTACATCTATCACCTGTAAATTATGAAGTCTTTAAGCAATGCAATAAAGATTTGACTTTGACTTAAAGGATTTTTTTATTTATTTTATTAATTTGCAGAGACACCCAGCTCTTCGAAATATTCCGCGTGTCGTGCTCGCTGCTAAGCTCGGCCCGTGGCCAGCAATTGTCTATGTCGGATGAGAGTCAACAAACGTTGCTCGCTGCTCTGTTACGATTGGCGCACAATTGTTTGACATTTGACTTCATTGGGACTACGAATGATGAATCGTCGGATGATCTGTGCACTATACAGGTAATTTATATAGAAAAGTAGCTGGTCGCCGCGAATTTTTTGAAGTGAAACTTCTTTATCGGGGTTGGAAAAAAATTTAGTGTAACATTTTTTCGTTACGCGTCACATTTTTCGGTTACGCGCTATGTTGTTTTTTGATGTCAAACTTCTTTATCGGCGTTGGAATGAAACTTCTTTATCGACGTATGGGAGAAATTTTGTAGCAAATCGTCACGTTTTTCAATGATAGTAATAATTCTATTACAATTAATGAAATTCTATAATAATCTTCGTAGTAATAAGGTAAAATGAAATAATTGTATTTGTTGAATGTCTATGATAATAAAAGCCTTTTGTTAAACTTTATCTAATTTTACGAATTTCTGTAAAGTTGCATATAGTAGATCATTTTTCGAAAAATAAGATCATAAAGAAATTTCACTTCTTACGTGTGTACACCTAGTACACGCACAATTTTTTTTTTTCTTAAGTAACGAATTGGGGGCCTCATAGCCTAGCGGTCTTATTAAGTGGCAGCTAGGTGAGGCGTATCGGGTTCGATTCCCGGTTCGAGGGCAAGTTTTAATTTAATTTAAATTTGTTCTCGGCCTTTGGGAGGGTTGTGCGGGGTACCGGGCGAGTGCTTAAACCTTTCATGGAGGACAAGGTCGAATTTCTAAGGCAAGCACGAATTATAAAAAATCCTATACTTGACGCTGGCTTATGCACAAATCGTGCCAGAGCCATTAAAAAAAATAACGAATCTTGGTAGGGAGGGGGGGTCTTTTTGTAAAACGTTACGATACGGGGTGGGGTTTGAATTACTCGTTATTGTTAATATTATTTTCGACTTTCCAGTACTTTACAACCACATAATGGTAACATTTAGGTTGGGTACAGAAAACGTTACGACGCGTTACATGGGGGGTGTCAATAATCTCCAAAAATTGCGTGACGTATTACTAACGCTCCCTAACATTTTGCTATGCTACCCCAGAGACTGTTCGGTTTTCCGGAATGAAAACTTTTTAGGTTTTTCTGTGAATTTTCTCTATATAAACCTCAGTGTTCAAGTCATAAGTTCTTTTATTCACAAATCTAAAATAGGGGTTGATCGTAGTGTTGTCGTAAGACTGTTAGGGGTGGTACACCCTTAATATTTAGGGGGATGAAAATAGATATCCGATTCGTAGCACTAACCGATATATGCACAAAATTTCACGAAAATCGGTCTAGCCATTTCGGTGGAGTTTTATTGGAAACACCTTGACACGAGAATTTTAAATATTAGATGGTGCCATTGATAACATTAAAAAAAAATACGTACACGTTTTTGTACACTGCCCAAAGTTGCAGGGGTATGTGGAACTGGACCAGAATCTCTGCTATTCAAAGACTGGGTAACTAATACCCAGTAAAACTAACTGACTGATGTGAGCCTGATCTGAAATTATCGTAATTCATGTGCACTTTTGTTCCTATTTTGTCTAAATAACAGTTTTGAAGTTATACTTCTATTGGCGCGTTAGGGAAAAAAGATGAGAATAAATTTTTTGATGCGCGCGCACACCGTCACAAAAAACCGACACCCTGAATATCAGTTCAAATGTCGGTAAAACAGTCTGGGCCGGTAGTTGGCGCTTGCTCTGTTTTATCGACGAGTTGCATTGTCTGTCATGGCGTAGTGTTTATACCAAAATAATGATTTCTATACGAGAAAACCCGTTCCAATGCGATAAAAAATATAGTGTTTATTGTAAAATGTCATGATTTGTATATATTATATCGTTTCGATTGGAAGTGACCATTAAAATGGACAAGAAAAATGCAATTCGAAGAGATAAACGTCCCTCTTAAAGTGCTCGAAGAAAATTATTACGCCAAAGAAGTATAACTTCTAAAGCTACGGTTTCCTAGAAAAGCGGTGCCGTTATCTAACGGCCGTAATGTAACGTTGGGTGACGTCACCCATACGTTGTCTATAAATAACATCGGAGTAGGTTTTCTAGAGAACGTTGTGTCACCGTAACGTCAAATAGCGGTGCTGTCATTTGCATGACGGCCGTCATACCGGTGATAAACATTAATTCAACGTTTTTTGCGTGTAGCGGTGCCCATATGTCATTAACACAATGAGTAAAAAGTAAAGACGGCCGTTATTAAAAACCGTAAAATGACGGCCGTTAGTTAACGGCACCGCTTTTCTTGGAAACTGAAGCTTAACGCGTGTACATACACATTTTGTTTTGAAGCTTTTAAACAGTTTCTTAATTAAATTTGCAGGTACCCACATCATGGCGCCCGACCTTCCTGGAATCCAGTACTCTGGAGTTATTTTTCTCGCTATATGCTTGCGTCCGCGGTTCTCTCGCTGGTCTCTCCCTCGCCTGTTTAGTACAGTTGGCTTCAGTGCGAAGATCGTTGTTTAGTAACAGTGAGAGGGCCAAATTCCTGAACAAACTTGCGGTTGGGGTTTTGAACATTTTGGAGGATACGCAGGTGAGAGCATTTAAGACTTCATATTTCTGAATAAAAGGCCGGCAACGCACTCGCGAGACCTCTGAAGTAGTTCCGAACCAATTCGACTTAGGGTCCTTCAAGAAGAGAGCGGGGGGGAATTTGGGGGGGGGGTTCGTTCCAGTATTACGTAAGCAGATTTACTGCAATGTTCCCCCCCATTCTTGTCAGCAAAAGTAAGCAAAGCTCTAAAAATAATAGTACATAAATGTAATTTTTGTAATGTCAGGCACAGGAGGCTGATCACCTACTTGCCTATTAGATTGATATATCATGAAATAGTTACAGAAATCTGAGGTCCAGACCTAAAAAGGTTGTAACACCACTGGGTTTTCATTTTTAATTTTCGTTTAGTAGAGTTTATCCATTAATTTATCCTATATTATATATAAATAAAAATATAATTTTCAGGGACTGTCTGATCCTACGAATTACCACGAGTTCTGCCGTCTCCTTGCCCGTTTGAAGTCCAACTATCGTTTGGGGGAATTGGTTATGGTGGATGACTATCCGAGGCTCATTGAAGAAATCGCAAAATTCACTGTGCAAAGTTTGCAGGTAGTTATAAAAAAATCAAATATGTTGTATCATGTTTCACAAATAATTTGTGTTGTTACACAATTTTATCTTAAAATAATTTGTGTTGTTACACAATTGTATCTTAAAATAATTTGTGTTGTTACACAATTGTATCTTTAAATAATTTGTGTTGTTTCACAATTTTATCTTTAAATAATTTGTGTTGTTACACAATTGTATCTTTAAATAATTTGTGTTGTTACACAATTGTATCTTTAAATAATTTGTGTTGTTTCACAATTTTATCTTAAAATAATTTGTGTTGTTTCACAATTTTATCTTAAAATAATTTGTGTTGTTTCACAATTTTATCTTTAAATAATTTGTGTTGTTACACAATTGTATCTTTAAATAATTTGTGTTGTTTCACAATTTTATCTTTAAATAATTTGTGTTGTTTCACAATTTTATCTTTAAATAATTTGTGTTGTTTCACAATTTTATCTTGAAATAATTTGTGTTGTTACACAATTGTATCTTTAAATAATTTGTGTTGTTTCACAATTTTATCTTGAAATAATTTGTGTTGCTACACAATTGTATCTTTAAATAATTTGTGTTGTTACACAATTTTATCTTGAAATAATTTGTGTTACACAATTTTCGTCACGTTTTTCGGTGAAACGCGCCATGTT